GTGTACGTGTTCCGTCAGTCTCCTCATGTGTGTGTAGATCCTGTGTTTGGTTTTTGTGTGGTTGTTAAATAAAGCTAGTGCTTGGTTAATCGTGTCTCCACTGTTCTTTAGTTCTGAAAAGAACTTTAGTTCTGAAAAGAACCTGCAAACGCTACAATATTTAAAAATGTATATAAGAGTGTAAAAATACAAGGACAATGCCCGCATTTACAAAAAAAAATATCTTAACACATTTCCTGCATTGATTATTATCAATAATAATATTTTCCATTTCTTTTCAGATAAGCCTAGACAGAAAAGGGAATGCAGCTTCTGTTGAGAAATATGAAAGGTTTAGGAAAGAACTGGAAGAGAAAGCGAGTGCCCCACAATATGTGGAGAGGACAGTTTTTTTTTGGGGGGGGGCAGGAATGTTACAAATGCTCTGCTCTAATGTCACTCTTTTCAAACGGCAGTTGACTGAAAAGGTGTTTCACAGCAAGGTGAGAGCTCTGTTGCAAGAATTGCCCACAACTGGGAACACATTAAAAAATAAAGGTTAGTATTTCTTGTAGATGTCATTGTCACATGTACACAGAATCTATATATTTTGTCTATACATATCCAGCAGCAATATCACCTTTCAACTCACAACCTGCAGCTTACTGAAGCTCAGCAGGTGTGAGCCTGGTCAGTGTAAAAAGCGGTGAAGAAGTATGAATAAATATCTACCCATGTTTATAGCCAACAGAACTAACCTTTACCGTGGGAGCCTTTTTTACAATTTCAACCGGTTGCTTGTCTCTGTGCTGTAAACCATTATGTTAGAACATGTCACAGGATACAGCAATTATTGTCATAACACAGCTCTCTTAAAGGCATATTCAGTTTACATATAATGCCCATTATATGACATCTCCCCCTGTCAGTTTTGTTTTCTCCCTTCTTATAAACAACAAAACAAAAGCATATTGCCTCAACATTAATTAACATTCAGAACACTTTAGTCACAAAATGACATTTCTCGTCTTAACTGTTTAACTTAGTAACTCATTCATTTTTTACTTGACCAATTTACCTCCCCCTGCACAAACACGCGGTCTGTGTCCCAATCGCTCAATAATGTTGACAATCCTAGCAGTGTGAATACTTGTGTTTCTTCACAGATTAAACCTGTCCACAGGTCTGCCAGACCAGGTAATTAACAGTACCATTTGAATCTCTGGGGATCTGACACTGGAAGAAGGGGTGGCAGGGTCAGTGGTTACTGCAAGTTCAGGCTGCTGTGTAACAGCACTATGTTGCTGTCCATCGGAAGCCAGAGGTTATGTGCCTCCTGCTGGGATAGGGACATGCTGCAGGTGGTGACGGTTGTGTTGAAGTGTTTCTCCCTGGTGTGTTTCAATGACACAAGACCGTGGAGTAATGCACTCCCATGAAAACAGCAGGTGTTCCCCAAGCTTTCTGATGGTCCAACTTTGTGAGGACAGCATCACCTGGCTGCAGCATTGGTAGGGGTTTTGCTCCGTGGCGAGGATTAAAGTAGAAAGCTTGTTTCTGCTTTTCCATTGCATCCTTACTCTTGACATCTTTCAGATTTAGCCATCGGGGCTGAGGGTTTGTCTCAAGTGTTGGAAGTGTCTTAATCTTCCGACCCATGAGGAGCTCAGCTGGACTCACACCTGTTGTGATACAAGGTGTCGACCGGTAGCACATGAGAGCAAGTAGAGGATCTTTTTGCTTTAGAATTCTCTTTGCGACATGATCTCCCCTCTCAGCATACCCGTTCCCTTGAGCATTTTGTGGACTGGAAGTGATGTGCTGAAAGTCAAACTGTCTTGCAAACTCTTTGAACTCCCCACTCACAAATTGAGGCTCATTGTCAGAAACAACCTCATCTGGGCAGCCAAATCTTGCAAAAAACTGCCTTTAACTTTAAGACAACCTGTGAGGCCGTAGTTACTGTGGCATGTGAAGTACCTCTAAGAACTTGGAGAAGGTAAGTGTGTTTGTTGTGTTCACACAGGTCAATAGCGAGTCTTTTCCATGGCCTGTCTGGTAGAGGGGTTGAGATGAGCGGTTCCTTTTTCTGTGTGTGTTTCGTCTCAAGGCAGATCTGACAGGATTGAACTTTCTGTTTGATTTCAGATGAGATGCCAGGCCACCACAAAGATGTGTTAGCTCTCTCCCTACACTTAGTCAGGCCTTGATGTCTTCAAAACATCTGGAATTACCATGCGGCTTCCTCTTGTAACAATTCCAGTGTGCTCAGACAGTTCACCCTTGATAAGGAAATGCTACCTTATTGCTGCTGGGACATTGCCTACATAATCTGGCCACCCTGTCCTGATATGCTGCAGCACCAATCGCAGGTTACTATCAGCTGCTGTGGCTGCCCTAACAGACTCTATTCTGGGTGGGGTTGTAGGCAGGCTGTCAACAATGGCTGCAATGGACACTCCACGTCTGAGTGAGTGTTGATTCCCTTTTCCTTGCACTGCAGTGGACTTTGTGATAGGGTGTCGGCCACCACCATAGTCTTGCCTGGAGCATACTCAGACGTAAATTTGAATCTCACAAGCCTCATGAGAAGTCTCTGGCACCCTAACAGATCATTGCCCTAGTCCTTTTTGTTCATTAGTGGCACTAGGGGCTTGTGATCAGTTAATAATTTGAAGTTCTGAAGGCCAACCAGGTACTTTTCAAACCTTACACAAGCCCAGACATCCGCTAAGCATTCCTTTTCAGTTTGGGCATATCTGGTTTCAGCCTTAGACAGACGACGCAAACAGTACGCCACCGGCTTCCAATCTCCATCATGCAGCTGTACAGAACACCACCTATGCCATAGTCGCTGGCATCAGCTGTCTCGGTTCACATTGTAGAACTTCAGAACAGGAGAGGTAGACAGAATGTCTGATGCACTGGGAGACGTTTGAAGAAATATCTCCCAAAGGGTGTTATAAATGTTGTCAACTAGCTGCACTCTGGGTGTAGAGGTATCTGCCAAAAGCCTGAAGCAGCATCGAAAGATGAGAACACCGTTGCACCACTTAACTTTGCAATAATTTCCTCTGCAGTAGGAAGGACATACTGTACTTCTCCCTCTTTACTTTAACGTCTTCAAGTCTACATAGATGTGTACGCTGCAATTCCGTTTTGGAACTGTCACTATCGGTTCACACCACTCAGTAGGATCTGTCACTCGCTCTATGACACTATCCACCTCCATACGCTCCAGCTCCTCCTTTACCCTTTTCATGAGAGGCAAGGGAACTCTGTGTGCTCTGTGCACCACATATGGCTGCGTATTCTCTTTTAATTGCATGTTGACAGGTCGTGTTTTGGGAATTCCATGCCCACCAAATGCATTGTGGACTTCTTCAATCCATTTCACTAGCCCCATTACTGATGCTGTGGTTTGGCTTAGCAGATTGTTTACACTCAGACCACGGATGGTCTCTCAGGAATTAACATTTTGAACGTCTCTTCACCCATGATATTCGCATCAGCACCAGTATCAATTTTAAATTTGACTGGTGTTACCCCAATGAGAAGTTGTACAGTCCATTGTTCATCATCTCTGTTTCCCTTTGTTACAGCACCCAGGAAATATGAAATATCTGTCACTTCCCTGTCTGATTTACTGTGACACAATCTTTCCCAGTGACCCACCTTTTTGCATTTATTGCAGGTAGATCTCATTACTGGACACTTCTCCTGCTGCTTATGTCTAATTTTGCCACACTTTCCACATTTTGGTTCTCCTTGCTCCCTGCTCTTTGTTCTTTTAGGCTTCCACTTTGGTGTTCCTTTTGCAATTTCCTGCACTGCAGCGCACACCTCCCCCTGCTGGTGAACTTGGAGTGTGACCTCCTCAGACTTGCGAACACTCTGAATAGTTTGGGCTAACGTGACCTCAGCCATTAGCTAGAGTCTACATGACAGTTTTTTTTATCAAGAATGCCCACAACTATGTGGTCGCGATTGTGTTCATCTCTGTTTACACCAAAGTCACAGTGTTCAGACAACTCATAGAGAACTCTAGTAAACGTTTCAGCCTTTTCATCAGGCGGCTGTACTCTCCAATAAAAACAGGTGCATTCATGTGCACCTGGATGGGAGACCTACTGGGAAAATTAAGGTTGCTGCTGGAAGAGGTGGTAGTGGGACCACTAAGGGATGTTTACCCTGCAGTCTGTGTGGGTCTAATGACCCACTATAGTGATGGTGACACTATACTGTAAAATAGTGTTGTCCTTCGGATGAGACGTAAAACCAAGGTCCTGACTCTCTGTGGTCATTAAAAATCCCAGCATGTTTCTTGAAAAGAATAGGGGTGTAACCCCGGTGTCCTATCCAAATTGCCCATGGGTCTTTACCAGTCATGGCCTCCTAATAATCCCCTTCCATTAATTGGTTTCATCACTCTGTTCTCCTTCCCCCTGACAGCTGATGTGTGGTGAGCGTACTGTGTCCATTATGACTGCTGTCGCATTATTCAGGTGGATGCTGCACATTAGTGATGGTGGAGGGGAGTTCCCAGAAAAGAAAAGTGGAGAAAGTGCAGTGTCCAGAAAAGTGTTATATTTAAGTGTTAGGATTTATTATTAATTAATGAAATAAGTCTTGGAAAAAAGGGTAATTAAATTTAGGCACATTGGACAGCTTTACATTGTTTTAATTACTTAATTTTCCTGTGTTTTTGATTTCAAAATGGTCTACTTTACTGTCTCCTCACGGGGTTCATGTTAAGTCATTGTAGGGCAACCTGCAAGCACAGATGGAACTATGCTTTTCCATTCTTTTCTTTCAAAGGACCACTACACACTTATCCAATAGAAAAACTTTAATTCCAGTCCAGAAACAAGATTAGGAAGTCCTGATAAAACAATGCTATACACAATCCACTTTACAGCAAAAATGCAAAAATTAAAATACTAATAATGTAACAAAGAATAGGTAAATATTTATAACAAAGAAATTACATGGATGCAACACAGTGATCAGAATAATCAGAATCAGATTTTTCATTTTGAATCTTCTAGCTGAAAAGTATTTACCACTTACCACTTTCTTTCCTCACTGCTTCTAAAAATATCTGCCTATGAAGTCTTGTTTACGTTTTGACTGGTCAATAAGTGAAATATTGTGCATCCCAAATAAAATAATATGACCCATCCCTAAATCTCCATTCCTTTAACATATTACTTTCTCACTATTCTAAAGATGTATCACACAGTACGAGAAAAGGTTTTTAGAATGAGGATTCCACAATAAAATAAATCAGAATTTCCCAAAATAATTTAACAGCAAGCTCTCTTAAACAAGGTTCAGGTAACTAATCCAGAATCTGGTATCCGAGACTAATCAGATCAAGGTTCTCTTGCACTTAGATGAGGGTGATGGTGTTGTTCTTCTCTCACAATACCAAAATCAAGGCTCCTTTCTGCCACGTAAGATACTCCTTCATTGAATTATGTGGAACAAAAAAAAAACCCTTACAAAATAGAAAACCACAGATGGAAAAAAATAAATTTGAAGTGACCCAGTATCAATAAGATACTGACACAAAACATAGCACATTTTGCATAATGATGTAAATGATCAAATCATTAACTGATGTATTAATATATTTGATACTTATTAATTTAGTTGAACTCTAACCATAACGCAGTGCCCCCCATCTGTTTTCCACTCAGACATTTTTGCATGGATTCTGTGTTTTCACCAGAATCTTTTTTTAACTCTTCTTGTCTAAACCTCTTGTTCAGCTGGATTCAGAGTAGACTGTTATGCTTCTTTCTTGAGGTGCATAATCACACAATTATTTTTACACCACTTTGATTAATATTATATTAAAATACACCAATATGTCAAACGTACTAAAATAAAAATTATTTTGGCTATGCACACCCACCAGGATGGCAAGGACAGGCCAGGAGCTGTTCTGGACTGAAGTTCAAATATGTCACAGTTTAGGGATAGTGACAGCATGGTCCAGAGGGGACTTTGCTTCACAGTGACAAGAACAAGTAGTGGAGAACCAGGAAAGCTGGCAGACTAGTCTAGTGTGAAATGCAGTGGTTGAGTGCAGGGTAAATAACTGGAGATCAGGACACAGGGCTGGAGTGCAGGACTGGGAGGACAACCAGACTTGACAGCTGTTCTAGGTGCAGGGTTGAGCTGCCAGGCCCCCAGACAGCCATAGCACCTCATGAGAGCTGTGAGTTTGTGCAGCAGCAATTCTCGCCGCTAGCACACACACCAAGGGGAAACATGATGTATCCAAAGAGGAAGTAGACAATGGGAACTCCGCTGAGAAACCACTGGCTGACAATCCAAAGGTGCAGAGTAGGACAGGGAGTGAAATGTAATGCCAGGTTGCCAACTTAAATCATGCACAGCACCCGTCGCAGACTGATTTCTCATTGCATTCAGATGACATGATTATATTGTTTCCTCAGCAAGTGGTGCAGGGAAGGCAGGAGTGAGGAGGCATGGCCCACAGCTACTACCACAACACACGCAAGACATCATCATAACACCAGGAAAAGAGACAGTGATTCATTAATGCAAAATTTTCAAACTTATTGTAAGGACACTTCTCAATGCCATGAAGTCAGTCCTTTTTTCTTACTCCATTCAATGTCTTCCATTATTTCCATTTCTCTTTCAGTTTCTTTTCTCTTCTCCTCCACTCCTCCTCAAGTCTCTGTTCCATTTCCTCTCTCATTCTTCTCTCTCTCTCTTCATACTCCTGTTTCAGCTTCTCTTCTACCTCTCTTGCTCTTTCTTCATATTTCTGTTTCAGCTCCTCCTCCTGTTGTTTCAGTCTTCTTTCAATCTCCTGAAGAATCTCTTCACTGATAAAGGCTTCTCCTTTGTTTTCTGCGACCATCTCATCTATTTTGTCCAAGAGCATAATAACCTGAGTCTGTTGTTCCAAGTTCTTATTGAGAACATGATACCTTTCCCCACATTTCTCAACTAGCCACTGGAGTGTCTCCCCTGTATCCCTAATGTGTTCCTCAATGGTTTTGCCTTTAAGTTTGTCCCCCCATGTGAACAGCACTATTGTGTGTCTCCAGACTCTCTCACCGAGAAGCTGAAGGTGTTCCTCTACCGCTTGCCTGAATGACTCTGGGAATGGAACCACAGGAATCACTATCAGGAAAGCATGAGGCCCTGGGGCACACATAGATACACTACATGTTATGTCTGACTTAAAAAATGCTGAGCCATAAACAAAAGACAGCCAGCCTGGTGTACCACTACAGTGACGGATCTCCTGTGTACTTCATTGTTTTTGATTACACATTTTTCTGTCCGGTCTTCAGTCTCAAACACCTTTTCTCCAAGGATTATGTTGCCTGCTGAACTCTTTCCAGCCTGACTCCTTCCTAGTAGAACAATCCTCAGAGGCTGATAGTGTCTCTGAGGGGAAGGACCCCGTCTTTCAGCTTCTTGAGCTTGGGCTTGCTCACCTATGAACGCAAAGAACACAGTTAATTCTCTACAGAAGTTTCACATAATTTGCTGTTTTTGATAATGAGCTTCCAACACAACTGACAGTGTCATAGTGGGGTACAGTGATTAGTTAATGCTTAAAAGGTAACTTTAACTAAGCTTAACTGTTTTAACTTTAACTAAGCATAATGTTTTCTATGTTAATGTCAAATTTTAACACAATATTCAAAATGAGGTCTTCCTGTTACACTTATTTTTTACATATTGTTGATTACCGTCTCCAGAATTACCAAGATGTGCACATTGTTAAAGCAATAAGAGGAGCTCACTGCAGATGGATCAATCACTGCAGTTTTCATTCAATTACATATTTGCACCCCCCCCAAGTCTTCCCTTTACTCAGAGCCCATCTGACCCCCTCAGAGACAGCTCTCTGAGTGTTGCTTAAACCAAATTCGAACCAGTCTAACCTACTGCAACAGAGACTCATAAGCTTCTTAATAAGAATATCATGTAGAGAGTGATGTTAACAGGCCTGTCAAGACAGATGATATAATTGTAGGTGTCCTCTCCAGTACGACCCATGTCACACATTTGCCCCAATCTCACCGATAATCTCCCAGTCTCAACCTACTAACCCTATATGACTTTCTAGGCACCGTAAGCAGACAATCTCAACTACTGCTACCCTGTTACAGTCCCACAGCCATTTATGTAAAACTTGCTCTCCTAGTTTAAAATGGCTGAGCCGAGAGGAATGGAAATGCCACACTTAAATAGTAAACAGCAGATTGGGCAGGTGCACATAATAACGAAACTAAAATACAAAATGGTCGGAGTGCCCTCTAGAGGACGGATGACGATTGTGACACATTTGAAACAACCACTACAGTATTATTTCTGTCTTATATTCTAAGACAGTGTATGTTTTTCACTTAATTAACAAAATATTCCTGGCATTACCCGTGCCTCCTCATAAATACTTTTGCAACTACCTGCTGAAGTGTGCCACCCTTAATCTATCCAAATAATAATGATCACACATCATGCATGACTAACTGTATTCTTTTTCTCCATATGTATCATATTTAGTTTATAAACATTTGAGTAATTTATTGGATTTTTGTACTGTAGCATTTGTCACCTAAAAGCTACAGTATAGACATAGAAGAAGTTTAGTTAAGAAGGTGGTAACAGTACTTTCACATTTTATTATTTGTAATAGTGGTGAAAATGGTGGGTTTGCTGCCTTAAACAAGCTACTTATCAGGAATTTAGCTGGCATAACAAGTTACACAACAAATGTCAACTCTAAGTCACACCTGAAGACAACAAAATATTGTTTTGCTTCTTTCTATTTTTTAAGTGGGGAATTCCTTTGCAACCTGTTCCTTTGTAGCCGATGCACATGACTGCTTAAACTGAATTTTTTTAAATGTAGTAGATGACAAAATATCTTACATCTCAATTTGAAAATTCATTTTTGTTCATTTCAAATTTTGAAATTTGATAGTCAAACAGTATATAAAATAATAATAATTTAAATAAATTGACATATTGATCCTATTGAAATACCACTGAAAGACTTTGCATTTTTATTCAGTCAGAAATGTATTCCCACCTAATGCTGCATGTTGAGATAATAAATAATCTGAAAATTTTAAGAAGATGCTGATCTTCTGTTGGTCTTTGTTTGGCACTGTCATCAACATGTCATAAAGTAATATCAGCTATTATGGTAAGTGGTTTTTACACATTCCTTTGTGTTTTAGTTAGTTTGCTAATTGATAGAAACTCTCTTGAGCACGATTAGATAGAGTTAAAATGCATTCAACTGTGTTAAAATGCATACATTAGAACCTTGACACAACTTGACACCTAACTTGTCTACCATTACCCTTCATCATCTGCTAATATTATAAGTATAAATACTATAAAGCCTTCCAGTGCTGTAGTGCATTTGCAGTACATTTGTTTCCATCCCATCTGAAATGGCGGCAAAATAGTATAGAAGCAGTTCTGACTACAAAAAGTGTTTTACTCTCATTTTCTGACTAGCATATACTGTACTGTGATATTCAAAATCAAAGGCTGAAAATAAAAAAAAATTCCAGAAAAAATGTAGATTTTAGGAATGACATGACATTAATTTGTCAGAAAGAATTGTATTTTCTGAATTACATACTATTTACAAATGATTCTTAATTTGTTCTTTACAATGAATTTCATTTGAAGATGATCAGAATCTAGAGAATCTATCAATATAGACAAAACTGAAAGTAAAACACAAACACTCCTGCTGAGAACAGAATCTATGTTATTTTAATTTATACATCTCAATTCTCCACACAGAATCAATGCTGCCATGCTACTAGAAGTGTAACAGATACTAATGTCGATTGATAATGACCAAATAAACTTACCAGGGTTCAGAATGGCTCCCTCAAATGCCATTTCTACTTCTCTCTAACTTGCTGTTCTAGGAAAGCTGAATTTCCTGTGTCTGTAAATAAAGGCGTGGGCATATGGGTAACAAAAGCAATGCTCCTAAACCACCTGGCATCTCGCGAGTTTTTGCTTGAGAACTGAAGCTTTTTTCTACATCCGTTATTTCAGTCTAACCAGTTATTATCTGAGAAAGTGAAACTGTGCAACAAGTTAGACTTAACTTATATAGGAAAATGATTCTGTTCAGTTTCATTGGTATTATCATCATCATCCCCAAGACCTCAGATAAAATATTAAGAACAATATTGTAGAGGGTTCAGTCTTGTGATCTTATATGTAAGTCTCAAAAGCAGATCATAAAGGACATTATGAACTTGAAAATAAGAAAGATTATGTTGTGTAGTTAGCAATGTAGAAATAAAGAAGCAGTCCTAATTAGGAGATAAAAATCTAACTTTGGATAAAACGTCTTATGTATCAATTTAATTTTTTCTTATTTTTTTTCCTTGTGGCACTAGGAAGCTGCCATACAGAGGAAAAATCTTGATTAAAGATTGGTAAGTTAAAGTATATTTGTTACTACAATGAAAAGTACTGCTCTTCAAGTTTAAACTCTGTAAAAGTGCAAATGTATATTCATGCATAAAAGCATGAATGTCATGATGGTCAGGCAAAGTATAACACATACTACAGTTTTATCACTGTTGTAACAAGTTGCAAGTTGTTGGCAACTTAAATTACAAACCACAACAGTGATGTTTTCCATTTTCTGCAAGAGCCTCACTAAAACCACAAGCTTTATATTTTCAATTGTAACAATCACAGAAGAAAAATGTAGTTAAAATAAGCATGTGAAAATTACACAATAACCACAAGTGACTGAGTTAAAGAATTTGATGTGGCTGTTTATGAAGAAATTAGAATGTGCTACTACTCCCAGTTATATAAATGTATTATTTTAATTCATAAATGAATACTGTTAATGATGTTCAGAAACGTTAAATGGATTTAAAGAAGCACAGTAGTGAAACAGATTAAATTAAGCAATAATGGTAATCATTTCACTAACATGTAATATATCACAAGTGCCACCTATCAATTGTCTTTGGCCAGTGAACCACACTCACACAGTGCGGTGTCACAGCCAGTTTACTGTTGCAACTAGTTCTGTGTGCGTCTCCATCTGTAAGTCAGTAAAGCAAGGCCTACATTTCTTAAAACCATGTTGAATACCCCATATATACAGTATATATACACCCCAAACTATTGCCATATGTCATACTCTAGGTTTGGTCAAAATACAGTGCCTTGCAAATGAATTCAGATATTTCATGTGGTGTCCTATTTTGTAAAACTACATAACAATGCACATACATATTTAATATATATTTTATTCAAATCCTGAATAATTCTAAGGGTAATAATTATTCCCTAAAGATAATTGCTATAAGTAAACATTTAGATCTTCATGTTAATTTTAAGTTAAAAAATTTAAATTTCACTTATTCCCATTGACATAACAGATAAAATGGCCATTATTCTATAACTTATTTGAATAATCTAGCTGCATTCTTAATGTCATTTTTTGTCATACAATTTTTATTGTATAACTAAATTCAGTTCCCGAAAACAGAATATAGTAGTTGATATCCAAGCAGTAGAAACAGTAGAGTTGTGATAAAGACATATAAAAGCAAGTACCCACACTGACAGAACCTTCGAGAATTTTGAGTGTTTTAGCTCTCTTTTGGACTGATAAGTCAAGTAAAAGTCCAAGATACTCAACACGCCGACTGTTTCAACATTGTTATTATTGGACTACAACCACAGAAAGGAGAAGGGGTAGGGTCCCGCAGTACATAATCACTTCCAAAAGACTCCAATAAGAATGTTTTCTTTAATATACCCTTACATTTCACTATACAAAATAATACATTTACTGTAGCCCTATTCTTCAACATCCCTGTTCCCAGTAAGAACCGCCAGTGTGGAGTCCCATCTCAAAAGATAAACTCAAATTACACTCAGAGTTATATCCCATTATTTATCTGCATATGTTATTTTTAGTTGGCTTCCCTCCACATACATACATATATGTATACAGTGCCTTGCGAAAGTATTCGGCCCCCTTGAACTTTTCAACCTTTTGCCACATTTCAGGCTTCAAACATAAATATATAAATTTTTTATTTTATGTGAAGAATCACCAACAAGTGGGACACAATTGTGAAGTGGAACGAAATCTATTGGATTTTTGAAACTTTTTTAACTAATAAAAAAATGAAAAGTGGGGCGTGCAAAATTATTCGGCCCCTTTACTTTCAGTGCAGCAAACTCACTCCAGAAGTTCAGCGAGGATCTCTGAATGATCCAATGTTGTCCTAAATGACTGATGGTGATAAATAGAATCCACCTATGTGTAATCAAGTATCTGTATAAATGCACCTGCTCTGTGATAGTCTCAAGGTTCTGTTGAAAGCGCAGAGAGCATCATGAAGACCAAGGAACACACCAGGCAGGTCCGTAATACTGTTGTGGAGAAGTTTAAAGCCGGATTTGGATACAAAAAGATTTCCCAAGCTTCAAACATCCCAAGGAGCACTGTGCAAGCGATCATCTTGAAATGGAAGGAGTATCAGACCACTGCAAATCTACCAAGACCTGGCCGTCCCTCTAAACTTTCAGCTCAGACAAGGAGAAGACTGATCAGAGATGCAGCCAAGAGTCCCATGATCACTCTGGATGAACTGCAGAGAACTACAGCTGAGGTGGGAGAGTCTGTCCATAGGACAACAATCAGTCTTACACTGCACAAATCTGGCCTTTATGGAAGAGTGGCAAGAAGAAAGCCATTTCTCAAAGATATCCATAAAAAGTCTCGTCAAAAGTTTGCCACAAGCCACCTGGGAGACACCCCAAACATGTGGAAGAAGGTGCTCTGGTCAGATGAAACCAAAATCGAACTTTTTGGCCACAATGCAAAACGATATGTTTGGCGTAAAAGCAACACAGCTCATCACCCTCAACACACCATCCCCACTGTCAAACATGGTGGTGGCAGCATCATGGTTTGGGCCTGCTTTTCTTCAGCAGGGACAGGGAAGATGGTTAAAATTGAGGGGAAGATGGATGCAGCCAAATACAGGACCATTCTGGATGAAAACCTGTTGGAGTCTGCAAAAGACCTGAAACTGGGACGGAGATTTATCTTCCAACAAGACAATGATCCCAAACATACAGCAAAATCTACAAAGGAATGGTTCACAAATAAACGTATCCAGGTGTTTGAATGGCCAAGTCAAAGTCCAGACCTGAATCCAATCGAGAATCTGTGGAAAGAGCTGAAAACTGCTGTTCACAAACGCTCTCCATCCAACCTCACTGAGCTCGAGCTGTTTTGCAAGGAAGAATGGGCAAGAATTTCAGTCTCTCGATGTGCAAAACTGATAGAGACATACCCCAAGCGACTTGCAGCTGTAATCGCAGCAAAAGGTGGCTCTACAAAGTATTAACGCAAGGGGGCCGAATAATTTTGCACGCCCCACTTTTCATTTTTTTATTAGTTAAAAAAGTTTCAAAAATCCAATAGATTTCGTTCCACTTCACAATTGTGTCCCACTTGTTGGTGATTCTTCACATAAAATAAAAAAATTATATCTTTATGTTTGAAGCCTGAAATGTGGCAAAAGGCTGAAAAGTTCAAGGGGGCCGAATACTTTCGCAAGGCACTGTATATACACATTAAACCTGGATGGCAAGGTGGTGCAGTGGTCCTGGGTTCAGTTACTAAGATCCTATCTGTATGGAGTTCATATGTTTTCCCTCTGTTTGTCTTGGGTCCCTTCACATTCTCCAGTCTTGTCCCACAGTCCAAAAACATACTGGTAGATTAATTGGCTTAATTTATATATTTAAAATATTACATTATAAAATGTAAATAAATGTAGAAAGAGAAATACATTACAACAAAGCTAATAGTGAGGTAATTTTGACTCCAACTATAAATATTGATTTTCAATATGTAATATGGTATCTTCAATGATTATACAAAGGCAACATTCCTAGACAAAACAAGATTTTAACTAAGCAAAAGGTAGGATAAATATGAAGCACTGACCCCCCACAGAACTGGGTGTCAGGTCTATAAAATTCACATTGTTGCAGTTTTTGCTGGGGTTCAAAACTGTTCTTGGAACCTCTAACATATGATTTAAAGATTATGTTAACTTTAGATAAGAGAGCACAACACCCCACCTATATAGTACAGTATATTTACCGTTCATAGACAAATGCAAATAAACGCATCTTTATTAAGCTTTAAATCGTGTCAAATCTATTCTTGCAAGAAAAATATCAGCTCATGAGGCTAGCACACCAATCTGTCACAAATGTACAGTAACATACTATACATATAAATGAAGCTTAATTCCACACTGAAAATCATTTTTTCAGATAGCCTTTATCTTACTTGTTCCTTTGCAGCCGAACTCACTCACGTTAGGTACAGGTTTCAATGTAGGAACATTGATCTAGAAAGGCGTTTTATAAACAGTAAGTGACATGTACTACACTTTGTATTAGTTAGTGTAACATTTTAATGTGCTTTTTATTGGTAATAATCATAATATACAGTACACCACATTTTTATCCTAAATGATTAAGTCATTATGAAATGAAGTAGATGAAAAATATATCACTAAAATAGTGTGACTTGATAATTCCACAAACTGTGTGTTAATCGAGTTCTGCCTTTTTGTAATACAGTACTCTCAAGGTGCACGCACCTGGAATTAACTAAGGGCGCGTCAGTAACAACTGTACTTAGAATGGCGCAATTGTGACTGTTTCGCGAACGTAATAAGTTGTAAGAAAATGTTTCTTATCCTACGTGACGCAGTTATCACCTGATCACAGCTACGTGATAGCTGTGCCATAAAACTTTTGTTCCGTTGCTGTTTCCGCAAACGCCCCCTTACCTCCTGCTGATGACGTGCCTCCAATGACAAGCCTCTAGACTGCAACCTTAAACAGAATCGCATATTCATTATTTAATCATTGCTTATATTATATACGGATAGGAATTGACGTGTCACAGAAAATTCATTTGAGAAGAAAAATGGCATCGGGAAGCACAACCCAGGACCCATGTAAGTTTCTTTTATTGTCTCTTTATGCATACAGTACCAGTACAGTATATCAGTATCAGTATCTCTGACATTAAACAACTACCAGCCGTCATATTTAACTTGCATTCCCCGGAAAGACGCTGATGTGGTCAGGAAGAAGTTGCATCGTGTAAAATAGTTTCATTTTCTGTTGCGTTGGCTGCTTTCTTTAAATTGTTTATTCACTAGAAATAGTTAACATAAAAACTCCAAAACAGTGCCGAATTTCAGTCGTTAGCACATTTACACCAGCTAGCAAATTTTACCCCCATTTATGAATTTTTGAATCCACTGCTGTCAATAAAGTTTTTCAGTTTACTAACACATATTCAGTATGCTAACTAATATGTATAAACTCTATAAAATACAGAGAGGAACTGTTACCAACCCCCAAAACCAGAAATTGCAACAGAGTCAAACGATAAAAAAAATAACTATTAACATAGCTATGTTAATCCTCTACTTTCCCACTTCAATGCTGTGATTTATAGTCTATTTCACATCACTCTTTCGCTTTGCCTGCTAACACACTCTCTGCATGAGCACACTCCCACATTTCCAGTCGTATCTGACAGTCTCTTCATAGAGCATTCAATAGACAAGAAAAACTATAACATCATGGACCAGTTATGTTGCCTGAAAAAAATGAATTAAAAATAAGAATACTTTTCAGGTGTAAGAAAATTGGAATGCTATGCAAATAGCATTCTTTTTTTTTTTGCAGTGTGCTGTCTATGTTAAAACAACATAGTTCTGTTAATGTCTGTACAGGTCCTGTAGACATCTCTGCCACGTAGCAATTTTAAAAGTGCTAAGACTCTTCTTCCTGCACAGTTACATCCCCCAGAGCCACTAATGCCCCAACAGACGGGACAAGCATGTTCACTCATTCCAGTTTTATTTTTATTTTAATGTGCTACTTGCAATCACCATAAGGTATCACAATACACATGCCAAAACAATATCACAGACCAGTTCCAAAATACCTGAAGAAGAAGACAGAAAAAAGTCCCATTTTGCACAGTCTCATTTCTTTCTGTGACTTTCCTAAAAAAAAGCTTCCAACAACATCACTTTCCTGAATCAGCTATTTGGAATCCTGGTGAACGGTCTTCTGCCACACCAAAAGAAGAAATAAAACTGCATATTCCTTTGATTGTGTTTACCACCCTATTTAGTCCAAACTTAAAAAAAAAACTTGCTCCTTATTCTCCCCTTACCTTGCTTCCTGCAACAAGTGGGTGGGTAAAGAAGACAGAGCATGAGCCCCTGGCATCCAGTGGCTGAGGTACATCTTTCTGGCCAGGACCTCAGTGAGTGTCAGGGATGTTCTGGTGATCACAGTGGTAAGCAGACAAACAAGTGGGGGCTACCTCGGGAACTGACTGTATGCAGATGACCAGATGTCACAGTGCATACAATGTCTCTTCTATTCCCCTTTGTCTCTTCTCTCTGCCTCTATGTTCCAGGTCCAGTTTCAGCCTGTCCAGCACTCCCATAATTGAATGTGTCACTTGCAAGTGTGTGGTCACTCTGTGACAAGAATTTAGTGCTATTTTCCCACCATATACACAGTTGAACATCGACTAACATCAATGTTAAAATTAATTTTGTACTTGTACTTAAGTACAATGTAGTTATGTACTTAAGTAACAGCACTGAACCGCTTCTCAAATTAGAAAAATAAATATTTCACAAATTATAAAAGCAGTTTGATTTTCATACGTGCAGTAATCATGAATAGTGTTGTCCTTTAAAGTTGATTGAAAGCAATTTGTTGCTTCTGCTGTTTAAGAACTGCTTAATATATATAACAATTTCTCAATCAGAAAAAACTTATAAATGTGAAATATATTGAAACTGATACATAATAGCCCATACATAAATTCACTAAATGTATAATATATGAAATCTCACAGTATTGGCTGTGACTGAATTGGTCTGATTACATAATTGGATCACTTCCCATTTGAAAATTAATTTCCATCAAATCACCAAATTTTAAATGTTAAGATTATTCTAAAAAGGTGCTTTTAAACATTATCAATAAAAATATGGAGTATTTACTATAATAAAAAGTAATGAGAGTAGCTTAAAAAAGAAATAATGTGAAAAGAAATCTTTTTACTATACTGTATATCCTAACATTTTGTTTGTTTTTTGTTGGTTCTTCAAATTGTCTAGAAGATGAAAATGTGTCAACATTAACAACTTTCTTTTTCATAAGCTTCCATTTCTATCACAGCAGTTCCCATTTACCATGTATCCATAGTTTATGAACAACAACAAATAAATAAATATATTCTTACACTTATATAGTGCTTTTCTGGACACTACACTCAAAGCACTTTACAGGCAATGGGGACAGTCCTCCACCACCAATGTATAGGCCCTCACTTGGACGATAAAACAGCATCTAAAGGGCGCCAATAAGCTCACCACACATCAGCTATCAGTGTGGAGGAGAACAGAGTAATGAGACCAGTTAATAGTATTGATTATTATTAGGCCATGATTGATAAAGGCCAGTGCGAAAATTTGTCCGGGACACTGGGGTTAACAGCCCAACTCTTTTTGGGAACCGCCCTGGGTTTTTTAATGACCACAGAGTGTCAAGACTATTTTTTTTCCAATCATCTGAAGGATGGAGCCTTTTTTACAGTATAGTGTCTTCTTCACCATACTGGGCCTTAGGACCACACACAGACTAGCAGGGGTAAGCGCTCCCTACTGGTACCACTAAATAAATATGATTGTGAAGAAAAAAAGAGATTACATTTGGTCTCACTGTGAACTAATCACAATACTCTGATTTTACATTATTAGCTCTGTTAGGACTTTTTGTCAGCGGATGCTTAGGATTCATTCTTTGAGTTTTCACAGAAGAATTGACAAATTCGTCTTGCTCTGGCAGGTGAAAGAATCCAAGAAATGGTAAAAGAGGAAAGTGTTTCCGAGCTGAAGGTTGTTCTGCTGGGATTGAAACAGGCTGGGAAAAGTTCGGCAATAAACACCCTCCTTGGTGGAGAGGGGGTGGAATCAGAGAGAGAAATTGTGGGTGAGAAGAGGCAGGGCAAAATTAGAGGGAAGCTGGTAACTCTGATCGACACACCAGGATGGGAGTGGGATTCGGAAAAGGTCAATTCAGAGATTAAGGAGGAGATTATGCGCAGTGTATCACTCTGCTCCCCAGGACCACATGCCTTTCTACTGGTAATTCCTGTTGTCTCATTCAAAGACTCACACAGGAAGGCAGTGGAGGAACACATGCATCTTCTCAGTGAAAGAGTCTGGACACACACAATAGTTTTATTTACCTATGGGGACAAATTGAGGGACTTAAGCATCGAACAGCATATTATGAAAGAAGGGGAGGGACTCCAGGGGCTTGTTGCAAAATGTGGGAACAGGTATCATGTTCTCAATAATAAGAACATCAGTGATCATGCTCAGGTCACAGTTCTTCTACAGAAAATAGAGGAGATGGTAGCAGAAAAGGAAGGAGAAGCTTTTATAAGTGAAGAGGTCCTTCAAGAGGTAGAAAGAAGACTGCAACAACAGAAGGAGATGCTGGAACAAAGAAAGGATGAGATGGAAGAGGAAATAAAACTGAGATATGAAGAAAAACAGAAAGCCATAGAAGAAGAGCTGAGACATAGATATGAGGATGAATTACGAAAGAGAGAAGAGGAGATGAAAAGGAAGTTACAGGAAGAACGTGATAGGAAAGAACATGAATTAAAGGAAAAGAATCTGATGGAAAAGGAACTTGAAAAAAAAGTTGAGACATCCAGACATTCTATCAAGAGAAGGAACAGCATGGACAATATTCCCCCTAAAAGTGAGTGTGATTAATTATTTTGTTACTACTGTATGTTGCTGATCTTAGAATCACTTACACAGTGTTCACTTACATAGCTAATTTTGAGTTACCATATTTTGAACCCTAAATTTGTATTTATATCTTAGTGTTTTAGAGGTGGTTAACAGCAAAATAAGAAATGAGTTAAGAAATAATCAAACATTCAGCTCAGCATATTATTAGACCTGACACCAGCTTGAGTACAACTAGTTTGTATCATTACAATAATAACTCATTCCCACCATTCAGGGATACCAAGTCACATGGTCTCTTTAATCATACATGAACAATTTGGTGGTGGATAAATAAATAGGCATTACGTAAGTATGTATTAATCAAGCAAAGACAATTTACAGTTTAAGGAAAGTCTTGTCTCATCACATCCTACATTTCCTCCTACATCCCAACATAAAACTTTTTAAGAACAGGTAGGCCTGCTTGCACAGCTCCATTCCCCAAATAAAGGAACATAAGAATGATTGCAAGTAAGAGGTGGCCAGTAGCCTATTTTATTATTACCATGACAGTAGCTACTGAGGATAAGACTTTAGCAAAACTCCTACACTATCTTATCAGGAACTCACTGTGGAAAGTCTTCATTCCATCTGATACCAGGAGCTCATCTCAGGCTGCTTCAGCCTCATGCTTAGTCTTAGTCTTAGTCCAGTTCTCTCAGGCTCCAAATGGGAGCTCTGTCTGTAGCTGTGCTACAGTACCTGGAGGCTTCCAATAGCTGAAAGGGAACCAGAAGACGGGATGGTTAAAATGGCGCTTGGGTCTCCAATTCATCCGCATCCATTCGTTTCCTCTGAGGAGATGACTCCTCCATACAGAAAGCCTACTGGACAAAGCACAGCTGTGGTCGCTTGTGGCTCATCCCTGTCCTGCACCAGGTTTTCCCATGCACATCCTTTCCCTGCGCATCAGTCTGCTACTGTAGTCTGCCTTTCCACAGGCTGGGCAATTCTAGAGGGCTGTCTGCCAGCTATGTGTGGCCTCTTTCTTAGGACCTCAGCCTTAGGAATCCATTCTGAAGCCAAGAGAGCAATACCCCAGAGATCCAACCTCCCTGACTGCATTTAGTGGACTTTGGCATACAGATTCTCTGGCGCTGTCTTATGCAAGCATTTTTTTTCTGCTCAAGGTGCAGTGAGAGTTTTTCCCTGGATAGTTGGGACTTAGCCTTTTGTTTTGCTTGCTGACTGTCTTGGCCTATCCAAGCTCCATCAGCCAATATGTCATCATTTAATTATCACCTTTCCCCCTTTCACTTTTCCTCCGTTGTCTGAAGTGCTAGATCCCTGTACAGTAGGGTCTCTTTGGGCTTCTCTAGAACTCTCCAGGCTCTTGCTCTTGGATTCTGACCAATCACACCTGTGGATGTGCACTTGTGTAGAGCCTATGTAAACTGTGGGCCACCTTCTGGGAAATTACTTTCTGTTAAGTTGTCTTCATTCAATTTGGTATCTGCTTAACAAAGAACTCAATACTCCCTTTAGCATATTTGAGCCACTTCCAAGCCCCGAGTTAGGGACAACCCCTTTCTAAGACAAAGTACACTAATTATATAAGTATTTGAATTCCAATAGCACACAGCAATGTCAGTGGTATCATGCAGTTAACACATGCAATTCATATAAACATGCAGTTTTTCTGACATTTTGCAGTGAGTGGAGATGCAGATCCAGGGAAAAGCACAGAGGAAACCCCAGTCCGTTATGAATCTGAAGATAAGTGAAGTGGGATAGATCAAGAAAAGAACATGGAATCTATTAATGATCTTGCTGAGTTATAGAGGGTCTGAGACACACTGATCAAAGGAATCATCTACTTTACCTTGGATAATTAAGTTTGTAACTCTGTAAGAGTCATCAACTGTCCAGAGAAGACTGTTGAAGGAGAGAATCATAAAAGACAGAGAAGGAGAGAAGATGAACACAGAAATGGGACAAGAGAGATGGCAAGTCCTTGTCCAGATTAATGTTAGGGAACAGAGTGTTTGAACTTTCTGTTGTTTATAGGAAAGTCTGCTTTCCTGTACAGAGAATCTCTGAGTAAAAATGGTCTCTCCTGGTTCCTGGATGCATTTTCCACACTAGAAAGATAGGTTCTCTTTCACTTTGTAGTATTCAGATTTAAGATCTAAGTAAAGAATACCTCAGATAAAAAACGACCTTTCCTCTTGGAAAGCTAACCCTAACAGACCAACTCACCCATCAATATTTCTTTCCAACGTCCGTTCTCTGGAGAACAAGCTGGACTACCTAAGATTGCAACAGGCTGCTCAGCAAGAGATGAAGGAATGCTGCGTCTTTATTTTTACCGAAAAATGGTAAAAGGACAATATATTGGATACAGCCATTCAGCTAGATGGACTGACTTCCTTCCGCTTGGACAGGAAAGTTTCAGAGACTTGTAAGTCTCTCTGAGGTGGTTTGTGTGTTTATACAAACAATAAATGGTGCAGAAATGCTGCAGTAGTCTCTAGTTACTGCTCACTGCTAGTGGAATTTATTATGGTTAAGTGTCAGCCCTACTATTTACCAACGAAATTTACTATGGTTATTTTTTTGGCTGTGTACATCCTGCCCAGCGCAGGAAAAGAGGTGCTATGAGTCCTTTACGTGGCAATCAGCCATCTGCAAACTGCTCATCCTGACGTCTTTGTCATTGTTGCCGGCTCCTTCAATCACACAGATCTTAAGTCAGTTCTCTATAAATTTTATCAGTGTTAACTTTTCAACACCAGACTTAGTTTATATAAACATCAGTGACGCATACAAGGCTGTTCCCCACCCCCACCTGGGCTACTCTGACCACATCTCTGTTATGATAATCCCAGCATACAGACCGCTGCTCAATCGTGCCAAACCAGTTGTGAAACAAATCAGAGTAGCCAAAGTTAATCCACGTAAGGCTGCTTGACCCGATAATATACCTGGTCGTGTGCTCAAGGAATGTGCAGTACAGCTAGCCAACGTCCTCACCGATATTTTTGATATCTCCTTGTGCCAGTCGGTCATTCCCATATGCTTCAATTCCACCACCATTATGCCAGTGCCAAAGAAGTCAGCCGTGTCCTGCCTCAATGACTATCGCCCCATGGCACTCACTCCAATTATCATGAAGTGCTTCGAGAGGCTAGTCATGAGCCACATCAAGTCCAGATTCCCTACCCCTTTGGACCCCTTTCAGTTTGCATATCGGTAATAACATCTCCAGCACCCTCACAATGAGCACCAGAATCCCCCAGGGCTGTGTGCTCAGTCCACTGCTGTTCACATTGATGACTCATGACTGAACTGCCAAGCACAGTTCAAACTGCATCATCAAGTTTGCTGATGACATGACAGTGGTGGCCCTCATTAGCAACAACGATGAGTCATCATACAGAGAGGAGGTGGAGCAACTAGTGGACTGGTGCACAAACAACAACCTGTCTCTTAATGTAAACAAAACAAAAGAGATAATCATTGACTTCAGGAGGGCCCACACTGATCAATCTCCACTGTACATCAACTGTACATAACTGTGGAGACAGTTAGAAGCACCAAGTTTCTTGGTGTACACATTATAGATGACCTCACTTGGTTCCTCAATACCACCTCCCTAGCCAAGAAAGTACAGCAGCGTCTCTATTTCCTGCAGCGATTGAGGAGGGCAAACCTTCCCCTGCCCATTCTTACTACTTTCTACAGAAGCACCATTGAGAGCACCTTGCCCAGCTGGATCACTGTTTGGTTTAGGAATTGCAGTGCTTCAGACTGCAAGACCGTGCAACGAATTGTGGAAACAGCTGAAAAGATCATTGGAGCCTCCATCCCTTCCATTTCTGTCACCTATCACAAACACTGCTTACACAGGGCCTCCAGTATAGAAGACGACCTCTCCCACAAACTCTTTGCCCTCCTACCATCTGGGAAAAGATATCACAGTGTACGGGCTAGCCCAGCTCGACTCTGTAACAGCTTCTTCCCACTGGCTGTCAGGCTTCTCAACACCCTGGAATCTACTTGCTCTCACCCCAATTCCAGAAACAGGGTTTAAATGCCCCCAGGGTTTTGTGTATATTGTATTATTTCACTAGTAATTTGCATTATCTGCTCTATGTGTATCCTGTCTATGATGTCTATGTCAGTGTCCTGTCTGTATTTGCACCATGGAGGAGGAGGAGGAACGATATTTCGTTCCACTGTATATGGCTGGAATGACAAATAAACGTGAACCTGAACTTGAACTTTGTGGGTGCATTTTTAGAATGGGGAGAAAGGCTGTAATATATTTTATGGCATCTGAGAGAGAGAGAGAGAGAGAGAGAGAGAGAGAGAGCCACAGATTGTATTCCATTTAAAATAGAAGGCAGCTAATCCTTATTATGACCTGCTGTATGCAAGCATTATTTAAGAGTTGAATACTTGGTAGCAATCTGGGTTTTTTCTGGGTGGTCTAGGCATAAGTTTTTTAAATGCTTTGTCTGTAAACTCTTGTACAGAGAAACTTGTGTTGTATGTTTGTTTTATATGTTTATGTTGTGTGTGTCACTGTCATTGTTAAACCCCCAGTACTGTACCTCAATGTTCAGTTCCACCTGGAATGTACGTACACAGATTATCCTTAGTAGGAGTAGGAGTCAGAAGCCAGAAGGGTTCCAAGGAGGTGAAGTACAAAAACAAGAGGCAAAGTCGTGGTCTAGAACGAGAGCAAGGAGTCAAAAGCCAGAAGAGTAGTAGAACAAACGCTGGGACAAGTAACAAGTAACAACTGAGCTCAAAGAGGAGACCTCAATAGTGAGCAAGGTAAAAGAGGAGAGTGGGGGTTTAAATAGAGTGTGGTGTTAATTGGTGCATGGGCATTTAGAGAGACTAGAGCTCCTGGAAATGCGGGAGCATGTGCATGCTTGTGGGTGGTTTGTTACACCAACTCAGCTTGAAAGGGTAAGGATCTGATGAACTATAAGAAAAAGGGCCATGCACAATCTTGGATGAGCTGCTTAAGTACCACCAGGAGGGGAACATTCTCATTGTACATTAAATTATACTTTTAACTTTAATACACACATGGAGCGGCAATCTTACCAATACTTGACGCTTCATTAAGAGCAAGAGAAAACAAGCTGTCCAGCAGAAATTGCCATTGTTGGTTCTCAGAAAGGCTTGTATCATTAATCACTTGTTTAACACTCAACACTCAGAAACTGAACCTTATTAGAGTACTTCATTGACTTACCAGAGAACACCTGCAGTTTATGCTGGATGGGCACATACATTTTAGAATTGTGCATCACAATGTGTTCTACTACTACTACTACTACTACTACCACCACCACCTTTTGCACCTCAGCTGGAGGCAGCAAAACACTGATGGGGTACAGTAGCAGCGCCCTGAATACATATAGCACCAAAGTTAATGTTCCCATCTGTATTAGTGGGGGACGTTACAGAAACAGAGGAATTGCTCTGGCATTTGCACTTGATGTCAATTGCTCCATACTAGGATTTTGATGTTCAGCAAGCTGTTTTAAGACTAGCAGATTCAAGGTGGACTTACATTATAGAAAGTGTCCAGCTCTTCAATTTCTGCCTTAAAAGTATCTATCTTATCTGCAATTACACGGGCTAAAGCTCTGGCATTACTAGGGCTTGGTAAGACCCTGCTGTTTGCTGCTGAATTGCACTTATCTAACGGAATACATTTCCAAGTGGGGCCAGAACCATTATGAGCTACTTGTGCTCTAACACTAATGTCGTCACTGCCACCTCAATCTGACACTTCCTGACAATTTTCCCTGTAAATCCAGTTTTACAAATTGTGAATTACAATGATTCAAAGACAAATTACACAATAGTTCTATGCGTTTTGTTACACAGAGTCATTATGAGTAGGCCTAGTCACTGAACATATAATAATTCCTTACATTTACAGTATGTAGTGTTTTTCTGGACACTCCACTTAAAGCACTTTACAGGTAATGGGGATCCTCTCCAGCATCACCAATATGCATCATCCAGGTGGATGCTGCAATGGCAGCCATAATGAGCCAGAATGCTCACCAGCTATCAGTGGGGAGGAGAACAGAGTGAAGAAGCCAATTCATATTCATTATTCGGAGGCCATGATTGGTAAAGGCCAAATGTGACACTTGGCCAGGATGCCGGCCAGGGTGACACTCCTACTCTTTGAGAGACACCCTGAGATTTTTAATGACCACAGAAAGTCAGGACCTCAATTTAACATCTCATCTGAAGGACGGAACCTTTTAACATTATAGTGTCCCCATCACTATACTGGGGCATTAGGACCCACATAGACTGCAGGTGAGCACCCCCTGCTGGCCCCACTAACACCTCTTCCAGCAGCAACCTTAGTTTTTCCCAGGAGGTCTCCCATCCAGTACTGACCAGGCTCACACCTGTTCAGCTTCAGTGGGTTGCCAATTGTGAATTGCAGGGTAGATATAGCTCCTGGCATATAAATACTATATACAGTATATATATACACACACACACACTAAACCTTTCTACCTTCTACTATTTCACACAACCAAAAAAAAAACTCCATTCAGTACGATAGCATAGTTCATTTACTGGAGAATTCCAGATGCACACAAAGTCCAGGTATCCACCTTTCATGCAATAGTCTCTGAACTTTAATCTTACATAAGAAAAAGCAAGTAATGTGACAGTCTGGCACCTTCCTTTTCTAACCTTTGCAGAGCAGTTGGTTCTTGCTCCCATGATGATTCTTCAGTCTTGCCTCAACACCTATTAAGCAGAATATTATTTAAGAATGCACACGCAGCCTACCAGAGAGAGTTTAAACTGGGAGAGTTGCTGGTTGCTCCTGCACTCAAGCACCAACAACTCCTTAGTGACTCAGCTACAGAATTAGTGCACTTTACACTGCACCTACAAAATTTATTACCAATAAACAATAACAGCCACCATACAACTTATTTTACATTACTCTAAATTTGTATTTCGATTAGTCCTTTTAATTATGTCATTCATATACAGGTATACAACCCTAAAGAGGTATCCGTGTGTATGTAACTAAAGTAGCTGCATTATACAATAAGAAGAAGCTAAACAAACTGCAATATACTATTTTAAGAAGAATTCCTTACATTTATATTGTGGTTTTCTGGACACTCCACTGAAAACATTTTACAAATAATGGGGACCCCCCTCCAACACCACCAATGTGCAGCACCCACCTGGATGATGTGATGGCAGTTAGTGATCCAGTATGCTCACCAGGTATAAGTGGGGAGGATAACAGAGTGATGAAGCCAATTCATAGATGGGGATTACCAAGAGGCCATCATTGGTGAAGACCAGTGAGACATTTGGCTAGGATGCTGGGGTAAGATCGCTACTACTTTTTTAAAAAGAAAAACACCCTGGAATATTTAATGACCACAGAGAGACAGGACCTCTGTTTTATGCGTTATTCAAAGGATAGCACCTCTTTACAGTATGGTATCCCTGTCACTATACTGGGACATTAGGATCCACACGGACTGCAGGGTGAGTGCCCCCCTACTGGCTCCTAATATCACTTTCAGCAGCAACCTTAGCTTTCCAAGGAGGTCTACCATCCAGGTGTCCAGGCTCACATCTACTTAGCTTCAGAGTGTTGCCAGGTGCAAGTTGCAGGGCAATATGGCTACTGGCCATATCCTCAAAGCATCATTGAAATTTGTTACTGTAACTGCATACCTCTTAGGGAGAAGATGATTTAGACATGTACTGTACACGCATATACAGGCTACAAGAGAGAGCTTAATAAGATTGGTTGAGACGGGTGTACAGTGTGATGAGATCGCCCACATTCTTGTAAATAGTTCCCTGGTTTCGCACCCCTGTTATACTTGTATCCAATCGCCACCCTATCCCCGTGTAGGTACCCGAATAGAGTAGTGTTGCTCTCGTCTCTCTCTGGTGCTTGCTCGTTCTCTCTCACCCTCAGTCTGTCTTCTGCAGACGCGTGGTAGCGGGAGTGCTGTGCTGGCTGTACCGAAGTTTAATTAAAGCGCTGCTTTCTTTACTCAACCAGTGTCTGGGTCACTGAGTCCATCCTCGCCGAACCCAAAACTGTTACAATACAATACTGTCACGTAGCAGTTCTTTCTAGGCCTTATGCAGACAACACGATCCGGTTGGTGAAGACACAGTAGGAATAAAATCATGCAGGCGAAGGGATGGAGACAAGGGTGCGTGTCCAAGGAGTGCAGGTGTCCAGGGGAAGTGAGTCCGGGGCAAACAATTCATATAGGAAATCCAAAGGGGTAATCGGAAACAAAGGCAGAAGTCCATGGCCAGGCGATCTATCTGGGGGGGAATAGGAACAGGAACCAGGTCGGAACCGGAGAGGGGAATCAGGAACAGAAAGTTAAAAGCATAAAGGAGCCAGACGCAACAGGACCCGGACTCTGATGAAACGCGATTCAATGAGGAACCTCAAGTGACGTCTACGTCTGTTTTTTTAAGAGGGGCTGGAATAAGGAACAGGTGTGGGGAATGAGGTAGAACGAGGAAGGGGTGGAGGGCCCTTAAGAGGAGGAGTTGCGATTGTGACAAATACTTTGGACATTTCTTTGAATCTTCAAAGTAAGGATGATAGTTTTCTAATACTTCAGGAAGTTTTTGTTTTTTGCTTTTATATTTTTCACAATACAAATTTCAAATTCCAGACAGATGCTGGCATCCGGAACTTTCGGCAAGGGGTTTAAAAGATAACTTATCTACGGCCATGAAAATAATTCTGCCTTGCTGTATAAACAGCAGATTCTATGCATTTTCAGTAATAGATTGACAACTTTCCTAGAAAGGTCCAGTTTAATCACAAAAGTTTTAGAATAGTTCATTGTGTATTCAAGGAGTTTTAGTTAAGATTTCAATTTAGTTTCAGTCTTATTAAGATTAGAGGGAAATATGTATTTCTAATAAAATCCTTTGTTGTTACTAATGGATACTAAACTTAATTGTGATGAAATGTAAGAAATCCATCATGTTTTGACTGAAATAAAACAAGCAGTTAGGTAATATCTTAGTTTTAAATTTTGTGACTGTATTCAGAATGTCACCCAACACAATCACTGCTTTACAGTCTGAAAAAAATAATGGAAGAATATTTACAGACTTCAACAGAGAAAACAGATTGATTAGAAAAGCATCTGAAATGGAAACAAATGTTAGTTTGCAGAAGTAGAGGCAGCCACACAATACTTACATAAGTGAGTCTAAAACTTATTGCTTCTAAGACCTAGAATCCTTTATCATGGTAATATTTGTTCCTGCGTAAAATATCAATTGAGAACAATTGATAACATATCAGTTTAACTGTATAGATTCCATGACAGTAGACTGCAATGAGGAACCAGTAAATATTATCTCCATCCTCAAAAGTAGTAGCCCTGGGATTTTTAATGACCACGGAGAGTCAGGACCTTGGTTTTACGTGTCATCCGAAGGACGGCGCCTGTTTACAGTATAGTGTCCCCATCACAATACTGGGGCATTAGGATCCACATGGACCGCAGGGTGAGCACACATCTGTGTCTTGGTTAAAACGGTGGCACAAGCTCAGGTCTTTGCTCTCCTCTGCCATTTTTGCGTACCCTCAGGGGCAATCACGTGACTACCGATGTTATCTGCACTGGGCCTTGGACTTTGTTCTGAGCGCAAGGCTGGGGATCCAATACATACAAAGACAGAATTCTGCAACGACCAATGTGAATACTCTGCTCGATCAACGGAAGCCTACAGTTGGACCCTTGTCGACAATCTGGATAGTTTTATTCAGAAGCAGCACTTGACCGGGAAGGAACTCAAGTTCAAGGAACGAACGACTGCACTGCACGCTGTAGTTAGATTCCTCCCTTTGTCCTACTCTGAGCTGCACCTCGACTGGTTGGCCAGTAGCCAGAGGACGCCGGGACGACGCCTATTGGACGAGCGCTTCGACAGAGTTGCAACAGAGCCTGTCAGCTGGTTTTGGTGTTCGTGCCAGGAAATCCAAACCAAATCCAAATCCATACACAGTGGTTAAGTAAACCCAATGTTCAACATTACATCTCAAGAATTTAATTGTTACTTCAACACGAGTTGTTATCAATTTAATTAATGAGTAATGTATTTACTTTTAAATTTAGTGTAAGAGTGGTTAATGGGACTGATTAATGATATGGTATAGCTGAACGGTATACTAAAGTATATTCTCTGTTGTGTATGTTTTTGTGTTTGAAGCTTTTTATGATTATATACCTGAATTTCTATAACCCTCACAGTAAGCCACCTGTAACCAGGCAGACTGATATATGTATATGTTTGGCGCACAATTTACGTTCAATAAATGTATCTTGTGTATTGAATCTGTGTGTGTGTGCGTTGCTGGTTGTTGTGACAATTGATTGTCTAATAGCTATCTTGTGTATTGAATCTGTGTGTGTGTGCGTTGCTGGTTGTTGTGACAATTGATTGTCTAATAGCTATAACGAATCACCTCGTGATTACTGCTACAATTCATAATTGCCCCAGTAAATTCACAAAACTCCAAAGGTAAACCTTATTACTGCTTTGAACACTGAATCCACAGACCCATATGTTTCTGCATACATCTCCTTACTTTTCAGCCCACTGAAAACTGGAAATATTGACACCAGTCAGATTATTGACACTATTTTATCAATATCTATTGACACTAATCAGGTTATTGACACTATGATATCTATATTCTTAAAGACACTTCATTATATTATTGATAGTGTATTTCATTTTGTATTTTTGTTATTGAACAGTACAGGAGAGAGTAATTAAATTTTCACTATTTACATATGATGTACAGTAAAAGTTAATTCTCTGTTTTATTTACTGGACTGAATATATAGTGTATATACTATAACTGCCATTTATTCTAATTATAAAGTTATAATATGTTTTTTCATTTTTCATTTTCATTCATAATGTATGTTTTCCCTCTCTAAATCATGGACTGCTAGCTGTTGCTACATTGTGTTTCATGCTCAGTACCCCTTCTACTCTTAAAAACATCAGTGCATGCACAGAACAGCAACAGATACTGGTATGGATAAAGTGCCTTTTTATTTTCTAGTAGATAATAATATTCAACACTGTCCACTCAATATCGCAGAGCAGATAAAAAATAGAACTCTAAAACACAGACATTCCAGACTGGCCACAAGCACCCCATTAGACCCCAGTTACCCAACAAATGTTCCAAAATACTGCAGTCCTGCATTTCTGTCCCCTATGTAGTTCCTTAGGTGGTTGTTACGTCTCCGGTTTCTCATACAGCCACTTTAAGAAGGTGTAGACTTTTCAGGAATACCTGACCACTCACCTGTCCCATTTAATCAACACACCCTTAGGTCTTCTCGATTTTAGGATGCTCTGGTCATTCATTCTCTGCTCAGTATTTTGGAAGCTCACTCCTGATACTCGGTGTTCATCATTTGTCTTGATTCTCATGGTTTTTCGGCTTGTTTTCTCTTTGACCCTTTGGCTTTTGAAATCTCGGACTAGCTTTTGATTTGGCACCCTACTCTGCACAGGATCTCTCTCAACTAATCCGGCAACTGTAACAGTGATTCTTATTCACCTTCTCTGGTCATCCCAAACAACGTGGTTCCCTCATGCTCTAATGTCAGGAGGGAGATGATGCTAGAGCTTTCCTCAGCTGTTCCCTGTAAAGTCCCTAGTGTCCTAGGTCCAATTCTGTGATCTTTTCTTGTCCCAGTTCTGCTTGAACTGGCTTGAACTTAATCTTTCATCACAAAGGCTCTTGACTTTTCTCCTGGGGGGTGGAAGCATCTCTACAATGCTTTCTATTGACAGAGCCAACTAACCAGTGCTAATTTAGGTAAATGGCCGTACACAGATTGCCAGGTGTAATAATGCATTGTTCCATCTAATCCTTTTCTTAGGGCCCCCAATCAAACATACTTATCAACCCACACATTTTCTATGAAATTGAATTTCTGAATTGCCCTTCACTTATGTTAAGAGGGCTTTTGTACAGGGCAGGAAAAGCTAAGAACTCAGAGTATCACTTAGGTTCCTGTGACAGGAAGTTCCTTTTTTGTCGCCAGCAATTGTCAACTTCACGGAGCTCAATAATAAATAGTTTGATACCTGTCTCTACCCATAGCTGGGAAACTAGATCTAAAAGAATTAGAAGTGATTGAATTAGCAAAATCTAAGGCAAGAAAAAATAGTTTTAAGAGCACAGAGTGATTTTTATTTTCTGTTCTGTAAATATATGTTAAAAATCATTGAAATGTTTTTTTTTATTTCTTTCTAGGCCAGGTGTGATGGTAATGACAGATAAATAAAGATCATTTGTATTGATTTTGGATTCGTGCATGGATCAATGCATCCAAGATAAAGATGGAAACTTCTAGATGTTGAAAGGCAGATGTACGGAATGAGTTTTTCATTCGTATTCAAAGAAAAAGTCAATAACATTCATTGGGCAGCAGAAGAAAGTTCTTTATTATACTGTACAGTATTGACACAGAAGAGGTAAGAATTTTGGGTACTAGAAGGTCTCAAACTGCTCAAAAAAATGTAAATGAATCTCCAGGTCCCAGTTGTAGTATTTAAGGAAACTATAGACATTCAGAAGGCAATTGATGCAACTCCTTCAACAGTCTCTTAAGATGGGGACCTGAGGTCTGGAGTAATGTAGTACCCATCCAAGAACTGTGAAAAGGCTGAGTCAAGTAATAAAAGAACAATAATTCTTGCTTTGTAATAGAAATGTAATAGAAATGATTATATGAACTAAATTAGAGGACTATATGGAAATAACATCCTACGGAACTGTCAAAATGTTGTTAGAAAAGGAATTTAGATCTAACTAACTTGAATTCTTTGAAAATGAAATTACACTAATTGATACATACAGAGCATATGATATGGTACATTAAGCTTTTTAGATAGCCTTTAATAAAGTCCTCCATAAATGATTAATTTTCAAATTCTATGTCATTCACATTTGCATTGAGAATTGGTTAAGTAAATGAAAACAGAAAGCAACAGATGTGTTAATTTTCAAATTGGGGTAATGTAATTGGTAGATCACCACAGAGATCTTTTCTAGGACCACTGCTCTTCCTAATTTATATAAATGATCTTGATGCTGGTATTGTTGGTAAAATAACATTTGAAAATGATATTGCTGCTCTGGACCTTATGCATAGAAGAGAAACCAATTGCATTCCAGGACTTTAAAGGAATGTCATACACTAATGGGTGGAAAGAACTGAACATTTTTAGTCAACAAAGCCAAGCAATTGGCTATTGCAGCTACTATGTTTGTTTATTTTTGTGTGATTAAAACAAACATTGCATTATACAGTATATCACATTACAGTTAAGTTTCCACTTATCTTTTTCTTGATGTTAGTGCTTTCAGTGAGAAATACAATAGTTTAATGTCTCACTATCTAAAGAAAGAAATCAGAAATTAAATATTTTATTTTCATTATTTTTTAGAGAAATTTGGTTTCACAGAGTATAACATTATTTGACAAACCTTTATCTTTTATAATTAAAAGGGCATAAACTAGTAAAAAAAACAGTTTTTAGATTAATACCAGTTACATGTCTTGCTGTGTAAAGCCAAGCATTACTTAAAGATGTTTTAAAGTATTTATATTAAGCATAAAAAACAATTTTCTATAAGAAATTGAAAAAAAAATCATATTATTCAACAGAGATCAGTTTTCTTATATTATTAAGATGTCAGATCAGGGTTCTGCACGATTTAGTGATATTACTGTTAGATTACATCACTTTTGTACTCTTCAAACACCTACACATCTGATGTAATCTGCCCTATGATATGACTAATTTTTACTCTTAATGCACTTCTGAAACAATTGGTTTTCTGAGTCAAACTGCGGACAACATACTGTAGACTGACTGCATTACAGTCATAGAAGGTATTGTTATGTAGAAGGTCAATGAGGTGATAGTATTGTGATTTTATTTAAATTCTAATTTTATTTCTTTCCAAAAGTTGTTCCATTCACATTACTTAACAGTAATTAAAATACAGTCATTAATACATTAATTATGTTTTTGTCTAAAAGTTTATGTGGTATGATCCTGTTTTTACTTTAGTTACAAATATTTAAATTGCATGAGTATATATCAGATTGGATATTCAACACACTGTGAATAGATAATAAGGTGTTTGGACATTAAGCCTATAGTTTCTGGTGCTTATATGAGCAATAATACTTTTCACAAAGTTCATAGTGTGTACAGATATATGCAGAATCTGTCTGTTACAAGAATGGCATGATCACTTTGGTTTTGACTGGATTGCAAAAACAAGTACTAAGAGATTGAAACAATAGTGGTCTGAAAGGCCTGTTAAATTGGCATTTATGATCTTACTAGAACAGTGTACTGTAAAAGGGTTGTAAAATTTCTGATAACAGCTAAACGTGATTATTTGTATACAATTACACTGTACTTATTTATTGGACATATATAATGGGAGTTGATGGATTTAATAACATAAAAAAGCAAGTGGGCCCTTTTAAACAAAATAAAAGTCAACAACAGTTTAACATTCATTAAAAAAGGTTTTGTGTTTTATACTGTTGTTTGTATAGGGCTAATGTGATTAAGAGAAAACAATACAGTACTAGCAGACGGTCACTGCTTTATGCTTCAGTACTTCATCAATTAACTGTTCTAAACATTTTCACAAAATTTAAATTGACTAATTTATCTACATAATTTGTGTTATTGAATTAAGTATTGATGAAAGACTCTGTAGCAGACTGGCTTGAGGATGTGGCTTCTGCAACATTGAACATCCCTGCAATAAAGGAATACATTTCACATGAAATATTGCAATTTTAATGGCTGCTATTTAAGGCAGAAACAGTACTGAGGTAGTATCAGTATTGTATTGAGTATATATCATTTTTGGTTTTCTTATTTATTTTATCCATAGTAGACTTTGGACCATATTTGTAAAACTTTTACAGTTGTGCTATGTTACAGTAACAGCCTATTATTCCTAGAGAGAAAATGACACCAAGAATCTATAACACAACATGTAAACATTTCAAGAGTATAATATTAAACTGCCTAAAACAATTTTAAAATTTTGTTTTTTTTTCCTAAAGTTGAGTATCCACCAAATGTTCATTTTTCAAAGCAGGATGGTAAACCTAATGTGACAGTTACTGTATTAAGACAAAGACACCAACATTCTTCACAGTCATCACAACAGATTTCAATACATGTATGCTTCAGCTACTTATTACCTGATAATGACTTACAACTCAACGTTTATAATGACCAATGCAAATATCCTGGCAATATTGAATCCTAATGTTTCAGTATTTACATATTGACTGACTTGATGGCACTAAACGGGTAAAGTGGAATCTCAGAAGCTTCAAATGTCTTCAAACAGCCACTTTTTTAATCATTATAATATAAGATAAAATAAATGCCTACTTACTCCTTCTTCGTTTGAATACATTGAATCTGTTTCCACTTGAAGACGTACCACCACTTGTGCTCTGCAACAATACATGACATTTTAGGTAACTTGGCCCACTGCATTTGTGTTGAGCTCTGACGAAAGGACATTTCCAAGTGCATGACAATGGTTGAGTCTAGCAACTGAATGGCTTTTACCCATGTAAAGTTCTGTTTTCTGCAATTCATTTAGGTTTTGGTGCTTTGTTCACAAATCTTCTTACATGAACAACTTTTATCTTTCTCATAAAGTATTTGATTAGTACTGTATATCCAAGTTGACTTATAATGTTTAAAAATTACACAAAGTTTAAATACAGGGACCAATGCTGCAGGTAAAATAAAATAAGTGAATTAATAAAATGATAATTTTGTGAAATGTAATGTAAAATGCATGAAATGTGTGTCTTCAAGTGTCCACATAGTGTTAAAGACTAGGGAATTACAATTTATATGAAAGATAATAATTGTTTAAATATTTAAATTTGTAAGACTTGATTAAAATCATATACCGAAGAACAAACTCTTTCGATGTTTACTAAAGCATTTAAAGCATCATAACTCACCCTTGTCTGTTGAGAACCTCTCTGAACGAATGAAAATCTGCGGAAAATGGCTGATCGTATCTGTGGGTGAATTACATAAAAGCATGGAACATAGGCAGTTGACTTACAGTATGTGGTATATTAGAAATGAAAATAGGAGTACACAGCAACATGTTAACTAAAGAAATAATACTGAAAATTTAAAAAAATTAAATTCAAAGTTTATTTGATTTATTAATATAATATGTTATAATACAGATACAATTTAGTATTTAATATGGATAAAAGAAGTGATCATATTTAAATACATTTCAAATAAACTTTAACACAGTTTCATGCAATACTGTATATAGAAAGAAAGACTGCAAGCTTATTTTACATATCAATAAAAACACTTTTAATAGTCCAAAGCCCTTGTAAACACCAATATTCGAGGTCCCCCACTGCATATACTGTATATTTAAAGTAACGGACAAATTGATAATGCATCAGGCAGAATCAGAACCTTCAATCTGTAGAGAAAAGAAAATCTTAAATACTTACTTTGCTGTCTAGAAGTATTCCAAACACTAAAATAAAGAATCCCTTAAAATAAGAATAACACAAAACCATTAGGCAATAGTCTCTACAAAATAAAGATATCAAGAATTATTTAAGATGTTTGCATTCTATTTCTATAGTTGACTATATTCTGTAGTCTTAAAATTAGCTCTAGGCATTCATCTACAGTTTTAAGAACAAATTATTTCAGACTTTGAAAAATAACTGGATTTTGAAAACCCTTACTTTCTGAGCCCATTGTGGTAATTGTGAATTAATCGGTAAAATTATTATAACATCAAAAGCATACAAATATAAGTGTTTACCTGGAATGAGTTGAGGACAGCAAAAACAACATTGAGCCCTACGCTTCCAGGAGAAACCATAAGTCCAATTCCAAACCCCCAAGTAAGACCAAAAAGGGGTGTTAGAATGGCGACGCATCTCACAATCACATGCAGGGCATTTTTTTCATCAGTATGAGAGCCTTCTCCAACTCCCCTTCTCAGCATTTTGAAGATAACCGCAAGCAGAATGAGAAAATTAATGGCAACAATGGCTAAGGCAGGAATGACAAAAGCGAGGAGTGCCTTTGTCTCATTCCAGTTAAGCCAACATACATTCTCAACGGTGTAGTGGTTCTGAGGGGCTGTGGCTATGATAGTGGTCATAGCTATGATGAAAGGGCAACCGTATCCTAAGCTGAATGCAATCCCCAACATGGCTGCTTTGGACAAGTGCGAAAAAACCAGCATTGTTCGGTAGAAAAGCAGGAGAGCAGAAGCGAACATCCAAAAGAACAAGGCCAGGTAAAAATAATGAATAAACCAGGTGGTTGTTCTGCAGGATGGCACAGGTATCACTTCATAGGTGTTAATGGCTGCACCTATCATGAACCAAATGTCTGCAATCAGAAGAGATATAGCAATGTTCACAATTGTTACATGCCGCATATATGATGTGCTGTTTTTAGTCACAAGACTCCACACAAATGCCTCAATAAGAAGGCACAAGACCAAGCTTAGCATTGATATGCCCACTCCGATATAAGTAATGAAATCTAAAAGTATCCGAATTGATTCAGGAAAATTAAAACTAGGTGACATTAAAATTGAAAAAGAGGTCAGATGATTGCAGAAACAGGAGACAGTTCCATCTTTGCTGGTTTGTAATTGACATCCTGTTGAATCCCACCCTCCTGTTTTGTTGAAAAGAAGAAAGTTCCAAAAAACACAGAGAGGATTGTCCAGAGATGTGTTATTTACTTGAAATGTTAAAATAGCTTTGTCTATTGAAACATTGCCATTTTTGTTCTTAACATTTACTGACGTAATATCTGCATTTATAGTCTTGTTTGCATCTATGCTATTGTTGATGTTTCTTGTTGGTAAGATTTCTGAAAGGGTGAAAAACAGAATGCTGGTAACTGTAGTGTCTGGGGGAAAAAGTGTATCTGGAAACTCTATCTGATTTGATGTATTAGTAAAGGTGGAACTATAAGTGCCATTGTTAATTATTTTGCTCTGCAAGTCAATATTCTTTCTTGTGATGCTGACAGTTGTATTTGAAGAAAGAGATCCTGTGAAACGTTCCACTGAAAACAACAAATTAGAGCTAGAATTCAAAGTTTCATTTTGGTTATTTAAGGAAATCCATGATTTCACTGATTCTGGGGATATGATGACATCCACTGTTGCAATGAAATTCTGAAAATAATGATAAAAAGAAAATTAATTTGATTCATTCATTTATATAATAGAAAAGATTAAATATAAATATAAAATATTACACTGAAGTAATTTGCTGTAACATTTGAACATAAAAGTAAAAATTACTGGAATGAAGCATATTTACAAATACTTCATATGTATAAAATGTTTCATCTTGCCATCCTTACAATGGAAGTCACAGAAATTGTTAGAGACAACTTGGAGGTGCAGGGTCAAGTTTTTGTTTGCTGTTTCAACATATTTTATTTTATGCATGCATTTCAACTTATTTTATTTTAAAAGGATTATCGCTCATATGAAGCATCCACCATGCTTATAGAGTTAATCAATACAGTTTCACAGTTTACATTAGATACTGCTTATGTTTCTAATTTTATAAATTAAAGTGTAAAATTAGTCTAATTTTCTAATTTTGGCTTAAGTTGCTTAGCATTCACAAAATTAGTTTAACGATTACACTGAAACGTACTTAGGCAAAATAGGACTGATCATTTTTTTTGCTAAACCCACCTGATATGGAATAGCTAATTGTGTGTTTTTCATGTCCACAGCTATGATGAAGCGTGGGCAAACTCTCCTGACCTTCCTTCCCACTCAGCTTTAAACACATCACAAGCACCACAACCCAGTACCAGGGGTTCAGTACTGATTGAAGGAGAGTTACATCCCACATTGACAGTACTGCAAGCTCGCCAGTGCCCAGGATGCCACAGGGGGACACTCTATTGCTAAGAGCTGTGAAAGCCCCACTCTACCCACAACAGCCAATTGTGTGCTGTCACTTGGTGATTGTAGTTGCAGTACAGTAGTTGCCTAGATATACTCACAATCACTTAATCTGTGCTCAAACAAGGACAAGCTCATGGAACAGATGAGTATTTCAGGATGCCAAAAATGAAAGAAAAATGTAACCATATATCAATTTTCAGTAACCAGTTTAACAAAAAGCTAGTACTGGGTCCCAAAAGCCTTTTCCCAGGTGTAAGTCAATTTCATGTTGGATGGGATAGGATCCATCCCTTCACATATCAGGGCACACAGTCAATCACATAGGGAAAAATTTGGAGATTAATTAACCAATTAACCTAGTAATCTTATTTCTGTACTGCGAGGGGATATCAGAGCATTCAGAGAAAACTCAGATAAACACAGAGGAAAAACATGTGAACTTCACTCTGCTACACATCACTCTGCGTCACTGTGCTGCCCTTAAATTCTGATTTGTTGAGTTTTATCCATTACAATTTGTCATTAATCTTAAAAAGATTAAGATTAGCAAATTTTGGAATAAGTTTAAAAGTCTTATGTGAAACCTTCTCAATTTAACTAAAACTACAGCATCCCAGGTTAGAATTATACTCAGAACTCAAGTGCCTCAAGTTAGCAGTTCTAATTACACATCTACAGTATGCTGTCTGATAGACTTTACTTAAAAATCAAAGCCTTTTTTTAAAAATTAAAAGTGGTGAAATACCTGAGATAATTAATATATAGCAATAGTATTATGTTATTATAATATATGAAAATATTATCAATTGATTTTTCAAAACTCTTAACTGTCCTTTTGTTGACTTAATTATGAAATGTATATATATATTTATTATACTTTATTCTTATCACATTATTCAAGTGTACTAGTCATTGCTGACAACAATCTCTAAACATGATTAAATCTTTTTTCTCGCTTTTCTTTCTGGTAATGTTATATACAAATATCTTGTCTTTTACTGTATACCATTACTCTTAATGCAACATCATTTTACAAAGTCACACTATATTTGGTTTTAGTTAAGCCATTTACTGTAAATCTCTTTTGAATTTCAGTTTACTGTACCTCCATCACAGTGGCATTAACTGTAGTATTTCCAGAAACAGCTGAAATAGCGCTCAGAATTTTCACAACAGCATTAATTGTCCCAGCTGAATTTGTAATATTTTTTTGTAAACTTGTTGAAGCATCGTTTAGCTCATTCAGAATTTGTGGTATCTTGATTTGTACTAGTGCCGGGTCCTTGAGCAATTGCTGGAAGAAGAAAAATACGTTTAGTGATAGGCTGTCCAAAAAAACATTTTGCATGTCAAACAAGGTGATTTATATATACTGTAGGGTTATAATATATAAGATTTATATATAAGATTATAATAGTCAACAAGACTGATACAGGAGTTTCCAGTTTACATTTCTATTTACACTCTCGTAAAAATGAAATCTGAAAGTCCTCTTTCCCACACTGTTCAATCCACACTGTCTCCACCTATCCATTTTCTAACCTCTTTATCCAGTACAGGATTTCTAAGGAGTTGGAGCCTATCCCAGCAATGCCAGTCCATCACAGGGAAGAGATACACACAAACACAGACACACTCATGTCAGGGCCAATTTTCCTAGAACATAATTAACCTGCCAGTATGTCTTTGGACTGCTGGAGGAAACTGGAGCACCCAGACGAATCCCACTCAAACATGAGGAGAACCTGCAAACTCCATGCAGATAGCACCCCAGGTTCGGAACTGAACCCACTGCTGCGAGTACTGCCCTTGATTCCTGACTTGTTCAGGTTTATCCACAACAGTATGTTGTGAATCCTAATAAGATTATCTGAAACCTTCTCACCTTAACTAAAACTACAATCTGGTATTGGCTTGAAATATTGGTTAATATTAGAACAGTATGTTGAAAAAACACATTTGTCAGAACCAAAACTCGAACCTTAAGAATTTACTTTTGAGTCAGCAAATCACATTTTATCCACTAATATTAAATTAGGGATTCAGCTATAGCCTGCAAATATTTGCTGCTACAAGCAGATACACAGGAGCATGAAACATTTGGTCATATAAAATTCAGCAGTGATCCTAGATTTCTTTCATAGGTGAGTGTTAATTCACTTATGTGCACTTACCAGCCCACCACACAGAACTTCAAGCTCCTACAGTGTTTTATTATGCTGACAAAAATATGAATAAATTCTTTATATTAAAAAGTAGCATCGTAATATTAAAAAACACATACTGTAAGCTGTGAAGTGACAGCAATTTTCTTATTTACTGTTCAGGAAGTAACTGAAAGTAACAGTGTATTAGAAATGCATGTTAAGGTTGCAGGTTATAGTAACAGTAGGTGACTTTTTAATGAAAGAATACAAAATATCAGTAAGTCAATTTCTTTACATTGTCTGCAGAGAGATGACCATTACCTCAGAGCTAGTCAGAATTGTATTAATTTTTGCTAATACGCAGTTGTCTTGCAGAGTTGTCCAGATTCCACTTTTACAGATTGCTTGTAACTGTCCTTGCTGTCCCTCTGGGCAAGCTGCTATGGCGGTACTGCCCTCTGTGCCATTACCATATATAGCGCTAGTACAAAAACCCTTAGTTGCTGGTTAAAAAAAAACAACATAGAAATATAATGTCAAAACTAATCTTTGATGACATTCATTAGTAGAACAGTTTTGAGTTTTTCTTTGTTGGGGGGTTTACGTAGCAGAGACAGAAAACAATAAAATCAGTATGAAAGTGAAAATACTGTTTGCTTCTTAAATCATCCAAGTGTATTTAGGAGAGGGAGAAAAGGAAAGGTGAGGTTGTTTATGTGGTAAACGTAAATGTGTGGAGAGGGGAAAATGTGTGGAGGTGAGTGCATGGAGACAGAAAAAGAGGGTGAAGAAAGTACTAAGGTACATTTTAAAGAGTTGAATGCTACTGTATACTGTATATTGTAGTATAAGGACAGTGAAAACTTACCGGTAAAGTAGATGATAGTAAGAGTACTATTAACAGAGGAAATATTATTATATGTAAAAACCATGCATATAAATTCTTTCTTAATTTCATCTTGACAGGGCGTCATCGTGTAATTATGCTGAAAGCAATTGCCTATTTTCGCTATATTTGAGAAGACAAAAACAGAATTGGTAAACAGTGAACACATAAAAACAGTCAACATGAAAGAAATTAAATTAAGCAGCAATGCACGACAGTAATTTTTTACAAATAGCAGAAGGCACAGGAGCACAAGTAAAAGATGACATGCCCAACCCACTTGAGATGATGGGAGATGGTCATAGTTTAAATGCTTGTGTACCTACTTTGGGGACAATACTGATGCTGGTACATCTTTTCTACAACTTGATTGATCAAATCATGTGCAAAAATCACTTTTCTGGTGAAATTACTTAAATTGTTTTATGGGTTTGTTGTTCTGCCTCATAAAAGCTAGGAATTATGGCAAACCATCAGCTAGTTTCAATTTTGAAGTCACAATCCTTATACTCCAACTTCTTCAGGTTGCTAAAAGCTACACTTGTAGATTTCAGACAATGGGATTTCCTCATCAATATCAGCCTTTTGTGAAAGGTAACTTCCAAGATACATTCTCCAGTAACACATTGTGAATGTAAACTGATGATTCCTGGGGCCTATATATTTGGAGCTTGCTGATGGAGGACAAAGATCTCCTGAATGTTATATGTAAGTGCCACCTTCTTACATGCCTCAGTAAGTACTGTACAGTATGTTGACAATTGCCTGGAGATCCATTTATTTAAGCCATAAACTGCCACAACGAACGAGAGTTTGACAACTGAGGTCAGGGTCATTAGAGATTAAATAATTTACTGTCCGTTTGTTAAGCAGCAGTCTTGTTTCTAGATCAAATTATCAAAGTGAATAGGACATCCATATTGAAAAGAAAGCTGGTAACTGACACGTTTTTTATGCATGTCAAGACGTCAAAAGGGCTCTGTAACTGATCTATTAGTAAGGATTACTGCATGCATTTCATAATAAGGAAGGGGAAGGATGCTGACAAATTTTGTAGGACATTCATTCTGCAGGAGGGCCTTTCAGTCTTTTCTATGTACAGAGCAAAATGTCTATGTAAAATGGAGTAACATGAAGTAGAAGGGTAAGCATTGTTCCTGACATTTGTCCTCTAATTGGTGGGCTGTGAAAATCATTTCAGCCATACCCTTTGAGGTACACAATCCACATTTGGAAACTGTTCAGAAGATGTCTTAATTATCTTCTAATTATCTTGTCCTTCTTTGGTAAAATATCCAAGTATCTTTGTATTTGATTATGGTTTAAGAGCTTTTCTTAAAGCATAGTAAATAAGGCCTCTGGACTGTGGATGTTGTCAAGATGTTTTATGTCTGTTTTTCTGGTGGGTACTGGAGATCACAAGCACACTTTCTGTGCATTTGTTAAAAACAAGAAGAAGAATGCCATTGCAATTGAAATGTCCAACTTCTAATTCTTTCCAGCGGTTCTATTCCAAGAGATTGTCGTCTCTTAATTCTGGAGTGGAAGTAACCAAGTAGAATATTTCCCTCTTAGGGAATCCACAGAGAATTAGTATTATCCTGGGATGGGATCCTGGGATCCTTTATTTCATCATCTGAACCTAGAGTAGAAGCATTTGCAGAAAGCATTAACATGTAATAGCTCTCTGCTAAGAGTCATGAAGCGCCTATTTATTCCAGAAAGGAACTTGCAACAGTGGTTGTTTATTTCATTCTTGATTGCAAACCCAACTCCATGAATTTGACATTCTCAATCTGATTTTCCATTCCAGTGGAAAGAATGTCCATCTCCCTGTTCTTTGAGGTAAGATTATTCAATTAATCGGATTTCACACATAGAGATAATGTTGTTGCCATATTTTCAGTGCTCTTACTGTTATGGTTCCAACGTCTTGCTAGCATAGATATCTCAAGCACTGGTTGATGACCCTCCTGTGCAAAGGGCTGCATGTAGCGGCAATGCTGACTAATAATACAGGAATTAAGTTTGCTGTCCCCCTGCCAGTCTCTTTCTCTCTCATCTCTGTGGTGCTGGACACAGAGAGGCCATTCTATGTGTTTCACATTAAAGGTGTTTTTCTGTCTGATAGCGTTTCCTGATAAGGATCAACTCCCAGGCCTGAGATTCTCCAGCCACCCTAATAAATGGTCATCTCTGGTGCCTTTCTGTCTGGGAGATTCCAAGGGAGAGTCTCAACCCAAGTTGTTTACAACAAGGTCAGAGAGGGTTGTTACTTATCCTCCACCTTGATCAGCCAATCAGGAAGAGGTAGAGTGGGGTAACCCCATATGGGTCTCAAATGCCTGTGAAACTTTCAACCAATGAACGACTATAGTTCCTCCAGATAAAAGAGGCTGCACAGTGCCCAGAATGTGCCCCTCCAGGACGTTCTCAGACTCAGCTCGGACAATCACGTGATGGCCAGTGTGTCTGAGTGCCAGGACTTCACTTTGTTCTAACAGCCTGGACTGGAGGTCACCCGCACGTAACTGAAAGATCCCCGAGCCAGAGGACGCGAATTTGATTCAACAACAGCCTGTCGCTGTTCCTTTGTGTCCACAGGTGATCTGAATCCACATAAATTGGATGAGTATTCAACATTCTACATTGCAGCTCGAGAATTCAATAGTAACCTCAATCCCAGTTGTCAATTTAATTCATATGAGTGATGTACATGCTTTTGAGTATCTAGTGTAGAAGTTGTAATCAAAAAGCTCATTAACGAAATGGTATGCTGAATGGTATACTGAATGTACCTGTATGTATCTGTATCTCTTGGTATTTGTAGCTCTTCGTGATTGAATATATAACTTTTGAATTCTGCTAACCCTCACTATAAGATCTGTTATGTTTATATGCACATTTTATGTACTGTATTAATAAATGTTTTCTCGTGTAATAGTATCCATGTGTGCATTGCTGAGTTGTACCGCAAGGTCGATTTTCTAATAGCCATCGAAGAATCATTTTCTGATTTACTGCTACAATTATTAATTGTCCCGGTAAATGCACAGACACTGTGTACACTGTGTTAAGCTTTAGCTACTCTGGGACTGTCCTGTGTACCTAGGGCTCCACACTTCCCTTCCTCAGCGCTATATAAACTGTGCTCTCATTCCCTTCAGTGCTCAGTCTCACATACCTGTATTTTGAGCTCTGGACCTTTACATTCCTGAATATTATCCTGCTTCTTTTCTTACTTCTTACTCCTGTCCTTTTTAAGTCTTTGTTCATTGCCTTGTTCTTTTTCACATTATTTTTCTCCTGGTTACTCCTTGTTTCCTTTCCTTTGCTTCTTGTATTTTTATTTCTTCTTGGGTTGCCTTCCTATTTCCTGAATTTAGCCTGTTCCTGGACTATGGTTAAGGATTTTGTATTATAGTGTTCTTTTATTGATCCCTGTCTGTAGATACCCACACAGAGTCCATTCGTCTGAGCACTTGAGATGTCTAGGCAGCTGCTTAAACTCAAGCCATTATTACATTGTGGTCAGTCATTTCAATTAAAGGTTCTTACTATATGTTCCAGGTCCAATATTGTACTGTGTTTTGTGTCTTTCAATCACAGAAAAATTACATCCATTTGGATGCAGCAATACAGTCAAGAGTAACAAGGCAGACTATGCTGCACACTGGTGGTGGTGGAGGGGAGTCCCCATTACCTGTAAAGTGCTTTGAGTGGAGTGTCCAGAAAAGCGCTATATAAGTGTAAGCAATTTTTGTTTTTATGTACAGAGCACCTTTTTTATCTCTAACCCTGAAAGTGATAAGAGAAGATCATATATCTTGAGAGAACACAGCCTTGATCCAATGAAATTATAACATAAAGTATGATCGGAACTCTCATTTTGCTTCAGCCTTTCTTCACTTGAGCAAAGAGACAATTGAGGTATTTTTTTGTGCATGTTATATCACTGAAGAGTCAGAAGCCAGTTTTGCTGAGTATGTAGAAAGAGAGAGTTTTTATCAAGCTTCCATGGTAATTGACAAAAGGAAAGAAAGGTATCTTCTTGTACTTCACCCTTTCAATGCTGACTCTACATTTCATGTTGCCCAGTCTGCACTGCAAGGATAAATGTGGGCTTTTGTGGATATGTTATGTCTTTTTGGAATAAATGTTGATTAGCTCTTGTTATTTCTCAATGCTGAACGGTTGGACTGTAAAGAAACTCTATAAACATGAAGAAGCTGTATGTATCAGCTACGTTTGACTTAATTTAAATAGATTTTGATATGTCATCTTGAATTAACTATGAATGATAAGTACAGTATTAATGATATTTTTGTTTTATTTGTGGTACTTTATATTTAACATAATGAAATCATAAGTATCACTGATTAATTAAATTATCAAATTTAGTGATCATAAGTATTGGGAGATGTTTATTTTAAGTAAATTTCAGAGTTTAAATGTCATTATTGGGGCATTTGAGGCAATAAAAAAGGCATGAAATCTGTGACCTATTGAACTCACCGCAATTTCTGTAATCTATCTTCTGTAAGATGTTTACTACAGCTACTTTGAGTTCTTCCTTATTCTTGGGGTAGTTATGGGTTTTCTTAATCATGTAAAATGCTTACTTTATTTTTCCCCTAACAAGTATGAAATAATTGTCTTCTACCAACTGTAAGAAAACAAAATATTTCCAGAAGCTTCAGCATTCATTCATGCAATTCTCATTGTTAGTTACATCATCAATGAAGACGAGTGAGACAGCCATCCATAAGTGCATCCATTGCATCCACAGGACCGTCCAAATATGATCATTCCATTTACAGTCCATGAACATTTTAAATGCCATTTATTTTAAATTCTAGTAACATTACATATCTGTATTACAAAGCCTAATGAATACACATGAGACAATGTGTGGCACTACACGCGAGGGGCGTGTTCAGTGTATAGGCGGAGCCCTGGAGGAAGGGTGAGGAGGAAGGTGTCACGCTCATTACACCTAGAGGGTGCTCTACGTTCCTTCTGTTCCTAGTTCCCTGTGATTATTCACGTCTTTCTGGTGTGTCTTGTTTTGTAGCCTATTTATTTCCTGCTTCTGCTCTGCTACTTGCTCAGCATTGTTTTTCAGTTGCCCTGAGACCCGCCTAGCACCAGGTCACTCCTGTCCTTGGCCTGAGGGCATAGGTTTCTCTACGGCTTCTCCTGAACAGCTGAGCCCAGGCTAACCCCTGTCTCGCCGCTACGCATAGGGTCTTTATCGCTCTCCAGCCATTCTACGGTTCATCCTGTTGGACTTACGTGACAGAAGGTTTTTATTTTTGGCCTTATGCTCCCTTCCTGCTCACCCAGACTGGACCCTGCTAAACAGGGCAAGTCCAGTCTGGGCACCGCTCTACATGATGGCGCAGTTTTGTATTTTTCCTTTGTGTTTTGTTTTCTTTCCGATCTCGCTAACCTCACACCGGTGCCTCCACCCCTCTGACGGGGCGTCACTGATAAGGGTGCTCGCCGCGGCTCCTCCCACTGTGCATTGCTACAGATGTAAGATGTACAGTAGCTGGAAGACTGAGACAATTGCCCAAGCACTTCTATTACTTTTGTCATGCAATTGGGATTGTACAGTGTATATGTAAAAAGTGGGACTTTTCCAATAGAAATATAGTAAATGTATCTTTTACCATGGCATTGTTATTGTTTTCCTGACAACAATAAAATGCAATTTATACATTAAATACTGTAACGCTACGGCCGGCAGGCACTGTGTAAGAGCCGGCTTACCAGAGCGGTGACGTTGCCGCCCTTCCCTGTGATAGCAGGACTACAGCTACTGGGCTGTAGAGTGATCTCTCTTTAGCTCACCGGGCTGGGTCCCTGTTGAGTGACGCGGGAGTCCTGGGTTCGAGCCCCCGACGGTGGGGGGCCGACCTAATGCGGCAAGATGCCCGCCTGAGCCCCCGTTGCGTTACATTGGTGTCAGGAGCGGGGTGGGATAGCCCTTCGCCGGGGACGGAGAGTCAAGCAGGGGAGAGGCTCTTACACACCCTGATGGCCGTGCGTTACAATACATTTAATTAACTCTACAGTCACTGGTGCTTCTGCACCCTCTGCTAATAAGAATATTAGTAATCAAAGTACCTGTTTGTAGTTTATTATTATTTTCTATCCAGACACCTTGAAAGCCTTGATTTTGAGCACAGCATTCCAGTTTAGTTACTGTTGTTGTCTGACACAAGACATTTAATCTTGGATTACTCAGCGTGATTTGGGGCAAAGGATGCACTGTAACTGTTGTTTCGGCAATTCGGTTTTGTGCACCAAATAATAGTTCACAACGATAAGTACCTAAAAAAATTGTTAAGAAAAGAAATCTTTTAAGTATTTATTTAATTCTTAACTGAGATTAAAAAAATAGTTCAAATGCATTAATACTTCAATATATTCTGCATACAAACTACTTTAATCAAGTGAGAAGAATGATTGAAAGAAAATATTAATTAAAAGCAATCTGCATTGTGTGCTTGTCATATCTTAATCACAATAGTGTCTAAATTAATTTTCTGTAATTGGTTCACTGCATGATATACTGTATATGCTACCTAGATTGTATACATCACTCAGGATACCTGCCTTTATTTCCTATTAATTAAACACATTTTCACAAGAGCTATATTATTGATATGTACAATTAAAATGGCAACATTGATATTTTTTAAAATTAACTTACCATTAAGTGGAGTTTTTACATTCAAAACTGCATTGTATGCAATTAGGGGTGAAAAATCATTTTGACCATTTTCTTTCAGATACCAATTAACTGAATCAAACTGTGAATCAGAAGTGCAGTTCATGTTGAATTCATACCCTTCGGATATGTCGTAAGATTGATAAACAGTATTGTCTATTTTCAATGTCACATTTCCTGAAAAAAAGTAAAATTAATTATGTAAAATACACATGAGCAATATTTATGGAATAATCTTCAATGACAAAATTGATTGTGTATTTAGCATTTTCTGTAGCAAACAAAATATGTTTAAATGGATGTGAACTGGGCAGGACAGTGGTGTGACATTTAACATTGCAGTGTCTCATTATTTCAGTTCTAGAATTACATTTGAATGTCTTACCCATGGCCATACATGTTTTTTTACCAAGGCACTCTATTTTTCTCCTACAGTCCAGTCCATAGATATGCTGCCTACGTTGATTGGGGTATGTAAATTCTCCAGTATGTGTGTATGCCTTATGTTTTACTGGCATCTAGTCAGTAATCTGACTTGTGCCCATTCAATGGTTCACTTCACTTCTGTATAACCAGATTGGTCACGTTTTTCAAAGAAATGAAAAAAGTATCAGAATCGATTGACCTATTAAATCTGATTATATTTAGTATAGTTCAAAAGAGTAGTGCAATTGTTTGCATTGCTGCTTGCAGCATTGGTGTTTCTGCATAGAGTTTGTATGTTATCCTGCATTTGCATGGTTCCTATGGGTGTTTTGTGTTGATCGATGGCAAAAAATCCCAATTAAATTCATTATCATTTTATATTATTACACAATAAAATGTGGAAAAGTCCAAGGGTGATGAATACTTTTGATAGTCACTGCAGCTCTTTCTCTCCATCACTGCTGTGTCCTAAACTAGTTTTAACACTTCAAAATCAGAAGAAGGCTTCACAGCCGAAACGTTGTGTTTTCTCTCTTCTCTTTTCAGCATGGAATAAACTTATTTCTTCTTCCTTTGAAGACTACGCATGCTGACGCAGCTACCCACTTGAACTACAACATTAACCATTTCAACCATCTTAATTTCAGCTTCTGTATTACCCATCTCCCCATTTATGTGTGTAAAATTGAAATCAACCATTATACAGTACAGTAACATTACCTTTTAAAAATAATATTAATAATTCCCAATCAGTGCATTGGCCTCAGATTCTTACATTCAAATTTTTTTATTTTTGCATTGAAGTATAAATATTTTAAAAATTGAATAATGATTTGTTTTGAATCTGGTCTTGGCTTTGCCCAGAAATTTTGTGATCCAAACAGAATTGGCCTGATTTAAGCTCTTTTGCCCCCCTTGTTGCTGATGAGACTGTTTAGAGTGACAATACATGGAATACTGCCCATGTAGTCACCAGAAATCCTCCATTCTCATTTGTTTTTCTCAATAATGCTTTACATTATTTTTCTATAATTAAATATTTGGTAACACTCATGACAAAAAGCATTTGGGGGGGTGCTGGCTTTTTTTGCAAACCCATATGACTGGTGGTCTAGTACTATTAAATAAACTGAAGTGGAGAGTCTTAAAGTTTAAGTAATATGGATTTTATAATTAAGCATGTATTATTGCATACAAAAAAACAAAACAAACCATACTACCCTAATTAGGACTTACCAACTTGGACAAAAATAAGAGTACTGTTCTTCTGGAAGTTGGCTCCATTTCCCGTTGTCACCTCGCAAGTGTAAGTTAATTTACTGCGTGTTTGTCCTTGAGAGCAGTTTCCAGATGTTGGTGTTATTTCATTGATTAAACAGCCTTCAGTTTCATTGAAGGACTTATTTTCTAAAATAATAACAATTGGTTAGTTTTTTTAGTATTATGGACTGAGCTTGACATTTGTTCTCAAAACATACTGTGACTTTTCATTATTTGAAATTTGTTACTAACATTGGACTGTTTTATACAAGGAAATCATTGATAGATTTTAAGTAAAGAGTTATTTTTGTCTATAAATCACTGATATATTAACATGAAGATTTATACATTTTTTTAATCTAGTGTTTCTGTTTTAAGTATGCAATCACAATTTTAACCTTGCAATAATTCACCGTGTATAATCTTCTTTCTCAAAACCTAAGTGTTGCATAAAAGTAAAATATGTCCGGAAGCAGTTATATCCACTGTATATTAATTTTTAACATTGTGTTAGAAGTTCTGTCACAGAGTGAAAAGAATGGGTGTGGGAAGGATCTAGGTGTTAAGGGGTGTATTGATGTTATGTCGCATTAATAAGCCAATGGCACCATGGTGTTGATGCAGTTTCATGCCTTATCCTCAATGTTTCCCTCCCTGGCTCTTAGAGACCCTGGTCAAAGGTATTCCTAGCACAGATGCCAGGCAATTGGTCAATTAGCACTGTCCACACCTAAAAGCATTACAGGGATGCTCCCACTCCCTGGGGCATAAGTGAAGAATCCTTGTTGAAAGGGTTTAAAAAGCCCTAGTTCTGAGATAATGTAGACCTTTTTGGAGAAAGAAGGATTACAGGAGAGACTGTAGCAGTTGGACCCGGGAGGACTCGACTTGGACACCAGAGACTGTGTGTCTTTCGGTGTTGATTTTGTATAAATGTGCCCTGGGTTTTGGGTAGACATTGTTACCTGTTGTAATCACTAGAATATGGGCACTTAAACAACACTAGTTAGTGTCTGTTGCTGTTCTGTGTGTGCACTGGTGATTCTGGGAGATGAATAGAACCTATGGCAAATGAAGAGAGGTCCTAGCACCCTTTATAATTGGTAGGTGGTGCAGTCATCTACAAAGTAAAGAAATCCGTGAATTTGGGGTTCACAGCCTGTGACAGTTACTGTTCAGTTTATAAACAAGTGTCAAATATTTTCTTTTCCTGCTGCTTGTGAAAAAATTTCCAGTGCAATATTTTAGTTAAAAAAATAAGGTTAGAGATAAAGTGTGGTAATTTAGGTGTGTCAAAGCAAATAGGGAAAAATGTATGCATTCAATTAATTTCTTTTTTTATTTAGTAAAATGTCTGGATTTTTTTCACTTTGACATTATACAGTACTTTTTTAATGAGTGGCAAAAATTCTCAATTACATCATGGTTCCATGCTGTAACAATAAAATGTGAAAAAGTCCAAGGGGTGTGAATACTTTTGCAAGGCACTGTAAGTAGAGAATTAAAAAAATTCTAGCTTCCTAACTACAAAATTGTAGCACAAGAATTAACTGCATTTTTTATTATCTTTGAGAAAGGTACATTTTACTCTGTACTGTAGTCAGCAAAACTATAAACTGGTTATACCCTGCAACAACATATCATCACATCCAGGAAGCAACAACTTACATCAGACCTACGTCCTTCAGGTTGAAGTCAAGCCTAAAGAGCTCCCAGAAACTAAAGACTAGTTTGCCTTCAAATGGAATTTGATAAATAAAATAAATAAAAAGACAGCATGTTATCTTATATTATTTTCTTACCATTTACTGTTAACGTTCCTTCCTTGATCCAGCTGACATTTAAGGCTTTGACTGGAACTACACAACACTTAAGTCTGGTTATACCATCACAATAGACATTACCAGGAGAAGTGAGAGTTACAGATGGCTGTTGTTGGATAAGAACTGTTTTATTGCTGACATATTCAATTAAACCATCTTTGAAAATGCACTCATATGTCCCTGAGGAGGTACAATACAGAAACAATTTAAAATTAAATAGCATTCAACAGTAACTTTTGTTTTTGTAAATTGCTGGCATTGTTAAATTAACAGTACCTACTTCCTTAAGAATTTATGGTTTTGAGATAAAGAACTGTACTTGTGACATTTGTAATGCAATGGTCATCTGCCAACTTCAGTTTGAATTAGACGGCAAATATAAATTACTATAGCTCAAAGCTTTGTCTATGTTAAATTTAGAAATCTGCTTTAAATGGAAGAGTTCAGATATTTGCAAATGCAGTTCATCCTTTGCTGTTCTATAGACAAATTACAGAAAGCTCTTCAGCTTGAGTGCTTTTATAGCTTAAAACTTTAATCACAGTCAATATCAGAATATTAATTCCACAAATATTTTTAAAATATTTATGTTTTTCATGTTAGAATATTACCTATGTATAGTAATTTATATTTTCAGAATTTTCTATTTTAAAAAATAATCAATATCTTTCTTTTAGGATTGATTCAAATACAAAAATACAAAAACAATATGAATCCCTTCCATATCCCATCCTCCTTCCCCTCCTCTACCCAAGTAGTGCTTTAACAGTAGTAACACAGTATTCTTAAAGAAGAAAAAAAAATGTTTCTTCACAGCCGAAACATTGTGTTTCCTTTTTTTCTCTTTTCAGCATGGGATAAACCTTAATTTTTCCTTTGCAGCCTACACATGCTGATGCAGCTACTGTGCCTACTTGAACTACTTCAGTATACAGTATTAAGTTTGGGTGATGTTTCACCAGCTAAGCTTCAGCCAAGATTGCTGAATGACCAATATCCTTATGGTCGTTTGATACTTTTGGAAATGTTGTTGTCCTGGAGGCATTTCTTTATAAATGTAAATGCTTGCCTTTTCTTATACATTGTTGTCATATCACGGAAACTCATAATGCTAGATTTGCCACACAGTATGTAGTTCATCCTTCTCCCATGCAGCTGTAAGGATTATGACGGTGTCCCTGAATCAAAGCAGCCTGGTCACAATGGCTTGTAGTTTCTTGTACTCTGCAGATCGCTGCTGTAGTTTACAGTTAGCCCTTTCAATTTTGTTAGGCCAGTACCAATCTTCAGTACCAAGCATTTTGGGCAACCCCATCTTTCCTTTCAATACTGTACGGGGAAACCGATCAGGTGTAGATATTTTCACTTGGAATGATTTTCAGGGTCATTGATCATCTGTTTCAAGAAGTTGATTTCTGCATTGTTGTTCTTATATCTTCGATAACTTAACAAATGTCTACCATGGCATCTTCATAGTTCTCCTGTCTTGTTTCAAATTGAGACAGGTTCAGAATGTCACTCTGCATTTTCTCCACCAGCTGATTGATTTTGCACAGATGGCTGTTGACCATGTGTTGAATTCTTGCAAAGCCTTTATTTATATCCATTTCTGTGTGAAACCACTAAGGAGGGAGATATCTGAAAATGGTGGTGCCTCTTGTTTTGCATGCTGTTTGCTTGCCATTTCTTTCATATTCTCAATGTTCTTCTTTAGTAGTATAGGTAATTATGCTGTTTAGTTATAATTAATTACTTTTGTTAGCAAAAAAACTGCTTAATTGTTTAACCTGTTATACTGGATTAAATCTGAAATCGAGGATCTTGTTGTGGGAGCTAAAGTGTCTTTCGTTCATGCTGCCATAACCAGAAACAGTTCCAAGTTACGCATAATTTAGTAAATTGTGTACTTTTGTTATGACTTTTTACTTAACTCAATAATTTTAAACATAAATGCATTGGTAAGGAGGCTTAAATGGTAAGTTGAATTGATCACCACTCTCTTTCTTCACATTTTTCTTTTGAAATACTCAAGTATTTACTCACCATTGTCATTTCCAGTAACAGAATTCACTTGGAGCTTCGTGAAAGAAGAGCCATTGCTTTGTTTAAACCTTTCCCCTTGCAAAGGAATATCATTCAGTTCCCATACTGTATTACTGTAAGGCTGATTCAACTCACAGGTTAATTCCATATTGTCCCCAGGGTATAAAATGTCTGGCTTCATTGTAAATGTTGTTTGGTCTTGAAAGAAAAAAGTTAGAACGACAGTATTTTCTCCAAATCCAAGTTCATTTATTTAAATTATAGACAACCGATATAATTAAGAATGTTATGCTTATCAGGAGCTCCAATAAAGATAAAAAATGATTTCATTTACAGTGAAGGTCACTCTGGCAGTACATCTGCTCCAAACCAGTGCAATGGAACATGATCTTGGCCTGCTAGGATGGGTGGTATAAGAGAATTTCTGATTGTTGAATGACAGAACTTTCACCATCTGAGACCAAGCTTTTATTTCCATTAAAAAGTCTTGATTACACACTGTACACATCAGTGTTCTTTAAGTAGGACAGTTCTGTTTTAAATGTTCTGGTGTGGTCTAAAATTAAATCTAAAGAAGTAGTACAAATCAAATGTCCAATCTCCAATGGCTTTAACTACAATATGCCAAAAACAGAAGTTCTACAGAAACTGTGTACAAAAGTTAAAATATAATACTATGAGCATCTTGTGTATACAGTATACTATATAATATACTGTATAGTATATTTCAAAATGTTCATGATAAGAAGCAACAGTAGCATTGCTTCTAATGTTCTTACCAGTAACACGTGCCGTAAAGGAGTCTTCAATAACTGAATAAGAACTGTTAACAAGGTTTGCCACAAGCTGAGTGTTTGCTTTCTGGATGGCAGAAGAAGTTATTCCAAGGGCAGTTACCTCATATTCTGTAATAACACTGCCTCTCCTGTTTGAAAGAGAATTTCAATAGAATGTGACTGAGGCAAAATAAACTTATTTTTTAAAATATTCTCTAAATGCTCTTTTAAAGCTATTTGATCACTTTTACTTAATCTAATAGTTTAAAAATGTTTTTTACTTGACAGATGCAATATAAGTTAACAATATATACAATATACAGTTTATACCATAAACATATACCAAATATGTCACACCCAACATCCCTCCCTAGAGGGCGCTCCACTACTCCCGTTATTGTTTCTGTGATTAAGCTTCCCAGGTGTACCTTCTTAGGTGTATTATTTAAAGATTAGCTCCTCCAGTCCTCGGGGCTCATCATTAGGGTAAGGATGTCATGAGGTCCACCTAGCACCAGGAAACCCTACGTCCGTCTCCTGAGGGCATAGGCTTCATCCCCGACACCTCCCAATTCCCGAGCCCTGGGTCTGGAGGATCTCACCCCGTCACCTTTGGACCTCCACGTTTTGTCTCTCCGTGTGTTTCTCCCTCCCGGGGATTTTAACCTTGTCACGTCCCAGGATGGATTTCTTGCTGATGGACTCTCGGACTGTGCCCTGACCTGCCTTTGGACCTGTTTGGATTTGGATGCTGTTCTTTGTCTCCCTCTTTCACTGTCTCATGGATTGTCACTATTATTTTGTGCACTATTAAACCCCTGTTTGTTCCCTTTTACCATAGCTCCTGTTTACTCCAGCTCTTACCACATTGTATAGGGTCTACTACAAGATCTGACACGGATCTCAGTCTCAGAGATTATTCACCAATTTTGATTCTATCTAAAGATTCCCAGTTTCAAAGAAGACTTGTTCAGTCTTTGTTCTGAGAGAATAAAGGAAAGAATCTACAAGCAGAGAACAAAAATGGAATATAAAAGGAGAGAAAAAAATGGAAACACCAATGTAAAGTGACTTAAACAGGGAGTTGGAAATTTATGTGTGGCCAACGTGGCCTGTAGGCATTGTGGCATAGAGTTAACCTGAGTCTGGCATTCTGCAGGACTGATGCAGCAGCAATGTTCCATGAGAATGTCTACAGATCCTGCCTGGTTGATGGAGACAGAAAATCCTGTCTCCTGTGCCCTTACAGAATATCCCATAAATGTTCAATTGGGTTAATCTCTAGCCATAATTAATTAAAGTAAACCACACATGTCCAGCAATTTTGTACATGTCCTTGTTAATACTGTGATATTGCTTGTTTAATTAACGCATTAGCAACACCTGCTTTAAAGCCCTTGCTTTCCCATTGAGATTTGCACTGTACCTGATTTACAAGTGTTTCCATTTGTGTTTTGTTCACTACATGTTGATTCATCATAATAATAACTCCTTGAAATTCATACTTACTGATCTAAACAAATAATCAGCATAGTTTTAAAAAACGAAACATCTTTATTCCTTAGTGATTTTACTGTAATAATAATAATATAATCATTTCAAATGTAACAAGATTTTTGCTACTATAATAATCATAATCAAACAGCAATTCAATACTTACGTAAAGCCAATGATTTTTACTCCATTGAAGCCATTTATGAACTTCCCATAGCTTCCTGTGATCTGTAAGGATGAATTGTAGGTTGTAGTGCAGCTAATAAGTTGAAAAGCATATCAAAATAAAGCTTGCAGGTTTTCAAAAATATTAAATGAATGATATATAGGAAACCAATATAATATAATTCATAGTGCGTAGCAAATCTTGTCTTAAAAATGTAACAGAAACACATAATATTGTTAATTAGCAAGCAAACAAGTTATTTAAAATGTCTCCTTCTTAATGACATCTGTCAGACCAACAGTATAGGCTATGAGGAAGTGCCTCAGCAACATACTGTAATATCTGCTTAAAGCATATGCATTTTCAAATTAAAATGAAGGAATTTAACTTGGGCCACAGGAGGATTTGGAGTGCCTTTAATTACCCATTTGTTTAATTTGATTATATTAAGCCTGGATTAAATTAATTAATAAGACAATCCTTTTTAAATAAAATATTCAAGAAATAATTAAGATAAGGAACTAAAGGTACAGTATCAATACAAAATAGATGGTAAAGTAATGACACATCTGTAAAAAAAAACGAGTTTGTTCTGTTCAAACCAATTTAAATGAACACATAAAATATATTTTACATCCAGTGGACATTTCAAACATTTCAGGAAATACAAAAATACAGACAGTTGCTGGAGATATGGCGAATCATCTCACTCACATTTGTTACCTATCCTAAGGATTTAAGTTTTTGTAATGAAATAACTAAAATATTACACCCACCCCCCAAATTATTAAATTGGTGACCTTCTGATTGTAAATGGACATCTGTTCCATTAAAAAAAAATCATTCTTTTTAGCTGTATCCAGAAAATTATTTTGGTCATCTGGAACTATATAGATCCTCTTTTGCTTGCTCTTTGGATTAACACAATATCAAATAATCTCAGTTTGGAGATATCTCCATTGAAAATGGAAGTAAAATGGTTTTTCAAAAACTGTGAACTATTGCAGCAAATGTTATTGCATGTGTGGCAAGATTCAAATTTAAAAACTAAATATCAGAATTTGTATTATATTACTTTTCTTGCTGTATTTATTATATTCAAGGAACATTCAATTTTAAATTAAAGGAATATGCTTATTATGTAAAACAGCAGTAGGTAGAAATCAATTGGTACAATTTTTTAACATTTTCTTTTTTCTTTTTTAATGCAGTTAATTTCAGTTTTACATATCTTTATTATATGTATAAATAAAGTAAGATGGTGATTATTTGTACAGTATAAATACAAAAATGATTTTGAAGACAAATAGGGATAAAAGCAATGGGTAATTATTGGAAAGGATCAACTCACTCCCTTTGTAATGTCCGTTACATATGTCTGATACAGGGAAGATGATGTATTTTTAAGTTCTTCATTAAATTCACCATTGATTTTGAAAGACATTCGTATTGCAGAAACTGCAAAATAAGAACACAAGAGTTATTCTTCCAATATTTATGGAACAATATAATTCCCTTTAGTGTATTTTTCACAATGGTCATGCCATTGTGAAGATGGTTACTAAGTAAAGCCAAGGACCTGCTTTTTCACAGCACAGTTTACAGTCCGTCTTAATGTTTCATTAGCTATTGTATGTAGTGCTGATTCAGATATGTAGACTTTGTAATTTTGATAGATACCACAGGGTATATTCACTGTGATAGACAGCAATCGCAGCACTTTCAGATTTTAATGTTACGTCTAGAGCAGGGATTCCCAACACTAGATCTTGAATGGCTATGAAACTGCCAGTTTTCTACATTAAAAAAAAATATATTCACATCTTAAATCCACAGAGAAGAGGTCAATGGGCATCTTAAAACTTAAATGGATCAGTGTAACCCTTCTTCTAGGAGCAGAGTTGCTTATAACTTAGTCATAGAAAACCTCCTGGACTCTAGATGAAGAATGTTGACGTTGGTATCTCCTGTTCTAGACAGCAACCTACAGTAGCAGTAGAACATAGTGGTCTCAATGGAAGTGTAACTGCTTAAAAGTCTTTTCTGTCGAAAGACCGAAATAACTCATGGAAACCTTTGCTTCAACACATATTGTGGGGTCACATTTTATCCCCTTGTTTGATATAACACTTATGTCCATATATATACACTGTACACTTGTAGGAACTATAACAGATCTATAAACTAGACCTATTCATGTATCAAACTGTAATTAGCTCTTTTGCTAAATAAAAAAAAACTGATTGTTTAATTAAGGGAAAACAAAACAATGAATCCAATATAATAAAAGTTCTATAAAACCTGAAATGACAAAGTTGTCAAAGAGTTAAGAGATATGCCAAACATACTTACACTGCCGTGGCTGGCAGAACAGTCCATCTGGTGGAAGATTTTTAATACATGTGCATGTGTTTCCACTTATGTTGCTGCAGGATCCATACTTGGTGCAGTTGTCAAATGACCAGACATAATTATTTTCACATTCACACCTTATTTCATTGCCAGATTGTGTGCACACTGAAGAAAACACAGAATTTTTACATTTCAAAATACGTGTTCTTTTGTGTTTTTGCTTTAAAGTGGGGGATCATTCTAAATAGCTTGTTTGCCCTTTGCAGGAAAAGAGTGCAGTACAAAGCTTAAATGGCATTTTTGTTTCCATTCTTATACTGTATATGCAGTATTATTACCATTATTAATTACCATTAATTTAGTTGAGTGACAATTTTATTGAAAGCCATTTGTATATTAAGGCCTTTCAGTGGAGCAGTATGAGTACCTTCCTTAAGATTCCAAAAGTTGTACCCTTATAATTAAGTATATATACTGTATAGTATATAGAGCATAAACACTTTTCTTCACATTTGTCTGAAGCCTCCCTCCTCTGCTCCATCTCCACCTTGCTGCTACCCCTTAGTTCACTCCTCTCTAAATGGGGTTTGAGCCTCCTCATTCTATGGTCGGGAGGTTACCCCTTAACCAAGCAGGTAAAATCTTTCTCACCAAATACTGTATTCCAAACATTCACAAAATATTTAATTATTGGATGTTGTTGCCTCTAGTGAACTTACAGTTGCAAACAGACAGACACCTATAAACATAAAGTCATAATTTCTAAATACTCACCTGTAGTGACATTTGCTCCAGTGATGTTAAAGATATTAGTAATATGAATTGGAAACAAGGTATTCATGAATGTCTTAAGTTGTTCTATTATACTCTTATCTGAAACATTGAGCTCAATATCAACAATGTACTCCAGCGGACTTGCTTGAGAAAAAAGAAAACACATATTAAAATAGTAGTGAATAATTAATTTTTAAAATGTTTTGGAAAATAAACATGACTGAGAATCTCAGGCTATAATTACATGGTATTGAAATTCAGAGGGATGATCAATTCCACAAGAGGAAGTTTTACTGTATATAAAAGTGGAGCACTGGATCCGTTCATGTAATGTATAAAAACATCCTGTCATTGGTTGCTTTAGCTTTCTTGTAATTGCAACATATCATTTAAGCGATAGTACAAACATATGGCAAAATATTTTTTTTGGTCTATATGCAAAATGTAAGTTGAACTTCTGGCAGAAAGTATTAGGTCTCTATTGATAAAGTACAGCCAAGCAGCCGGTGCAGCCAAGCAGCACCTCAAATCCAAAAACCCTCATAATCCAGAATTCACCTTATGAGTTAATCAGTCAGTCACTTCCTTGCTCCCGTTTCCTTCTGGTGTAGTGAATAATAGAGGCTCTGCTAGCTAGCAGAATTTAATGGCCAACCTGGAAACCTCTATTTCCTGGGCCAATTGTCAGGTGACAGTTACACCCAGGCAGCTGGTTGTCTACAGCAGTGGTTATCAAACTGTGGTATGCGTACCGGCAGTGGTACGTGGCGTGCCGCCAGGTGGTACGCCAAATGACCCTGGAACTGTGTTGTGTGCGCTGAAAAAATCGGGACGGGTTTTCATATTTTGTATTTTTATACGTGTCGAATACGCAGCCTACGTACTACGATACAGTGCGCGCTAATACTTCAGTGGACACAAGAGATACTCTGTAATTCTATACCACTCTATAGGAATGCGTGCTATGGACGCAAGTGACCAATTGTATTTAAAAAAAGCTACTGTATCTCCAGCAAACAGGGAGAAAGGAGAATGTGCGTGATTTTGGAACAATGCCAACGTTGTAAACACAGGAATGCATAGAAATGCGTGCTACGAACGCTGGTAATCTTGTGAGCACAGGAAAGCGTGAAAAATATTTAAGAACTGTTCTAAGTTAATTTGAGAAAAATACACCGAGCGTCTGTTTCTCACACGCGCATGAAATAAATACTTAAAATAAACACTGAAATAAAAACGGAAACGTGAAAAAATGCAAGCTTGCGGATTGCTAAAGCAGGTAACCATCACACTATTATGTGTGGAGAAAAAGCTGCTGAACAGCTCGACCTGCTGCCCCCCCCCCGAAAGACACAGTCATTCATAGAATTATTGAAATGAAGGATTATATCAAAAGTACGCTGACAGAGCGTGTTAAGATGAGCAGATGATTTTCACTGCAATTAGATGAGTCTGTAGTCGATTTGGCCAATTTGCTTGTTTATGTTAGATACGAGTTTGAGGGTACGTCCCGTGAGGACTTTCTGTTCTGTAAACCGCCACCAACAGCAACTACAGGAGAGCACGTATTTCAGCTTCTGAATGAATTTATCGAAGAGAATGGCATCGACTGGATAAAATGTGTCGGAGTTTGTACAGACGGTGCTAGAGCAATGACAAGCCGACACAGCGGTGTAGTTGCACGAATTAGAGAGGTTGCTCCAGTTAATGGTCAACATCCACTGCGAGACCTTTGCCATCAAGAATATGCCTGACGATTTAAAATCTGTTAGACCCTGTTGTGAATTGTATCAAGGCTCAAAAAATTAATTCACATCTGCTTTGCTCAACTAAACAGGCTCACCCCTCTCACTGAAATGGTGCTTTTTTATTTTTATGTGTTGTTTTTTTTCTGTAAAATACTTTGAGAAGCCACATTTTAATATATCAAACAAAGTTTATTATTATAATATTTATTATATGTATGTGTGAGTGTGTGTGCACATAAGCTCATGTTGGTCATTGATAATTTCTGGGGTTCCTATGAGATGATGACTTGTAGGTGGTACTTGGATACTTTGGTTGGATTAGGGGTGGTACTTGGTCCAAAAAGTTTGAGAACCACTGGTCTACAGCATGTCATAACAGACAGGCATCTTTCATGTATTCACACTAAATGATGCTTTCAAACATATGTGTTTATAGTTGAACAAATATTATGCATTAGGTTCTAAGGAACATTTTCCAATCCTATTAAACTGACTATTGTGAATGTTGAAGTTAGTTGTAATTGGATTAGATTTTCAAGTGTTTACCTCAAACCTGATATGTTTGATGACAGCTTTGGGACTAAAATGAAGTTGACCTACTTACTTTCACGTTTCTGCCTGAAATGAGCAGGTGATTTCTCAACGCTCTGTTCAGCTTTGTTGGCCTAAGAAAATAAATCATCTTACACATTCAGGTAATGTAGCAATGTTGAAAAACAAAATATTTGGTTCAGCTAAATTTAGTTTGGTGAAAATACATAAAATGCACATACATCCATTCATGAGATATGTATATGTAAGAGATAATATCATAGGGTTTAGAAGGATAAAAACGTCTTCATCCCATGTTCATGTAAGATTTCCTCCAACAGTTCAAAGACCTACATTATGGTAGGTTAATTGGCTTCTGAGAAAAATGGCCCTGGTATGAGTTTGTGTGTTTATGTCTGTGTGTGCCCTGTGATAGTCTGACATCCCATTGTATACTGCCTTGCGCCTGTTGCTTGCCAGTTTAGACTCCAGCAGACCCATAATCCTGTATTTGATAAAGTGCTTAGAAAATGAATGGATGTTATTTGATTTTATTTTGAAAACCAGAAAAAGGCATGTTACTATTCATTTTCTTGATGCCAGAGCTCCCTCTTGTGTTCTACTGCTGTATTTTAAATTAATGCTAAACATTTTTTGTTTCTTAAACATTTAGAGTACAATGAGGTACAATAAGATTTAAATTCTAATACCTATTAACTTTCTTTTTATGTACAGAGAAGCATAAAAAACTAAACTGACTATGAACTCAGCTGGAGCAAAAAGCAAGAAATCGCTGCCCTGGAGAAAAGTATCTGATTAGCATTGTACAGTATTTGATAATTTGCTGTATAACATCTCCACCTATCCATTTTCTAACACTTTATCCAACTGAGGGTCACACAGAAGCTGAAACCTGTCTCGGAGAGCAACAGGCACAAGGTGGGACACACCCTGGACAGGATGCCAGTCCATTGCACACACGGATGCAAAAACTCGGACTCATTGCAGTGGTAGTTTTCCCAGAATCCAGTTAACCTACAAGTAAGTCTTTGGACTGTGGGAGGAAACTGAAGCACTCAAAGAAAAGCCACACAAGCAGAGGGAGAACATTCGATTTCCATGCAGACAGCACTCCAGGTCTGGAATTTTTCCAGGTCCCTAGCTCTGTGCAGCAATACTAACCACTGCAATACCATCCCACTCTTGTATACTAATAATGTATGTAAGATGGGAAAACAACAGACATTAAATTGTCAGTAATATATTATCTCAAATTAATTGTAAAACAGAAATAGTTCATACTTACAAATTGTTAGCTTTGTGAGGGCATGATAATAAAGATACTGTATGAGAGTGGATCAAAAATGAATCACTGGATACTAAAGCAAAAGTTTTTTTGCAGCAATTTATAAAACTTGACAGTGTTCCATCATAAAATACAAAATTTGGAAAAATAAAGAAAATGCATAATTTATATGTAAATAAAATGTGTATACGCAGGTTCTTTGAGCAGCATATTCCTAAACATTCTTCTTACCTGAAAGGAGGACCATCCTGGAATTTTGAACCAAGGTTGTGCTGTCGAAATCTCACAGGCTAATAGCAGAACTGCAGAATAGAGCAGAATCTTTGGTATTGCCATTCCGTCCTTTAAAAAAAAAAATATTAAAGCCAAAAAACTGAGTTTAAGGAAAATATACACCCTCATCTGGTTTTACAGGAGGTACATTTTCCAAAAATGTCTGGTTTGGACATCAGTCTTTTCAGAACTCAGTGGATAAGTCATGCTAGGTTTGTGTATGTTTACTATGTTTGTTCTGTGGGATTTCATGAATAACTGTAATTGTAACCTTTTTGGTGTTATATAGTGTATCAGCTGGCCCTTTTGTTCAAATCTACAATTTCTGTTAAAACATGTTAAACCACATGAAATACACAAAGCATATGCTTAGTATTTTCTTTGATGTCCTATTTTTATTTTAATTAAAATATATGTCATTAAAATATAAATAATTCTAAAAATTAATGGACACATTTTGTAAAATTAGATTTTAGGTCGAACACGATTTTGTCTGGACCATTTGAGTGTAAAATTTCAAGCTTGAAGACTGAAAAAGCAGAAAATCCAATTCACTGTTTGAAGATTAGAAAGGATGATCAACAGAACATCAATAAAAATCACAATTTTCTTAATGTATTACATTATTAAATTTATACATGTGGAATTATTTCATCGTTCACAACTTTCTAAAGTCAGTGGAGTTCTATAAATATTATTCATTTTAAAAATACATTTTTCAGATATCAAATTAAAGCTCCTTATATTTTCTGAGGTACAGTATATATAGTAGGCCTTTTAACTGTGATTTCTGATAAAATATCGCTACAACAATGGTTTTTAGTAAATTTTGAGGGAGAAATACTATATGTACCAGTATCCAAACACGGATCCAATTCTGAATCTCTATTCCTAGATAGAACATCACTCATTTTAAAAAGTGTTAGTTTTGTAATCTTTAACAGCCTCATGTGCTGACATAAGTTGAACAAGACATTGTTGATATCATAATAGTAATTCAACAGTTCTTTGTAGGCACATGATGATAAAGTGAAACATTGGCTAATAAAACATAAATGCAATAGATAGTGGTACAGTTCTTGCTTGCTTTACGGGAGACCTGGGTTTGACCTACAGGTATGTTAAATATTAAAATAACCTTTAGTTGTTTTTTTTTTATGCAGAGCGAATTTCAGTGTCTCATTGTCTGATAATGGGTAACATTAGGTTTATTTGTGATTTCCAACAAATCTTTGCACAGCTTCTTTGTTTAATTTATCTATCATTTGTTTAATGATTTCACCTTTTATATATGCTAAGATAGAATAAACCTACTCATCTAGGTTAACTGTAGATAAGAGTTACGTTAGGACCAGGTAAAAAGATAACATGAAGCATCATTCATACTAACATACACAATTAGTATAAAACTCCTTCTAACTTCCATTACTTCCGGACACTTTTGCATTTGTCTAATCCCATCACTTTTGATTTCTACTCTAATTTAAAATGCGGGAGGTGTCAGGCGTTGCATTGCAACAAACACTGCAGCATGACGAACAGCACCGTATCTCACCATTTTTATTTTTTCAAATAATCGAACGCAGGACTGCACTACTCTAAAATTTAGTTGTGTATGGTTGTCAATGTTATTTTAATAGTAAAAATTAAATGTTTATTATCCCATTTGTCTTTCCTGTACCAATCATGCTATACAGTACTAATACTTTACTAGTGACAATTTCATTAAATACAATGATTTCACACAACTCTAAATAAAATAATATGTCACAATGCTATATAACTAATGTAACTTATTTTCGATGTCATGCAGTATACTGAATTATTAGTCATTTTGTATACTTTGTGTACTGTTTCTTTCACTTTCCACTTTGGGTTTGTTTCATTTTGCTTGCTCTGCAAGCAGGGACTCTTGCAGTTTTAATTTTGTATATCCAATCACAGTGATGCATTGGCATTTCAGTGGTCTTGCTTGCCACACAGGAGACCTGAGTTTAACCTACAGTATGTTAAATATTAAAATAATATTAATAATAAATGAAGTAATAACTTGAATGATCCACAGTAGTGTTTAGTGAGCAAACATGTGGCAAACATAGGGGCAGTAAAGAAAACTAGTTTTATTGGTCATTTGACTACAAAACCAATAATCTACAGGGTGCTTGGTGAGAGTAAGGGTATTTAAAGATGCCCTTAAACAGAAATCACAATTGAGCTCACAGAAGCTTTCCACGCTATTGTGCATCGCCATTTTCATTTGAGACATTCTGTTTAAGATATTACACTCAGAAGAACATATTTTTTGTTACAATTCATCAGATATTTACAATGCATTGTGTTGAACAAACTCACTTTAAAAAGCCAGAAGAATGTCCTAATTTGGGACACGGCACACACACACTCATACCGCATAGGAGGGTGGAGGGAAGGATAACACACGCTACGTATTAACTCCACACACTCACCAATTTCTCAGTCCAGTTATTAAATCTTGGTAACAAAATAAAATAATTTATGGCATTGCAAAATTTTACAAATTCTGAATTAAACACAAAATCGTGAACTTTGTGAAAGCACTGTATAGTTGGTATTGTAGCGGAGCTAGTGTGGTGACGACAGCGCCCTCACTGCGCGTAGCAGGGTCCTGGGCTGAGGGAGGTCTCCTTTAGCTCTAGCGGTTGGTGCCATGTTGCGTTACGCAGGAGACCCGGGTTCGTGCCCCAGGTGTGGGGGCCAGAATGGGCGGCGGGGGGCACGACCACTTGCGGAACCGTGACTGTCACATTGGTGCCGTGACCCGGGCGGGAGTGTGGAGTGTCCTTCGACGAGCTGAAGTTCAGCAGGGAAGGGTGTAGCGGAGCTAGTGTGGTGACGTCAGTGCTCTCACTGCGCATAGCAGGGTCCTCAGCTGCCTGGGGTGAGGGAGGTCTCCTTTAGCTCACGCAGTTCGAGCCCTGTTGCTTTACGCCGGGTTCGCGCCCCAGGTGTGGGGGCCGGAATGGGCGGTGGGGGGCACGACCCCGCGCGAAACCATGACTGTCACGCTTTGTTGACAAGAGTTTACGGGAACAGTGACGTGAAGCCACACTTCCTGCTCACTAATTACTGTAATGAGTAATGTAATATGATGCAAGAAGAAATAAGTACAGGTTGTGCTGCAGTCACCATAAAAACATTCCAACATGATCTGCGTGCAGAGTTAACAAGTAAGTGGTATTTGTTTGCAAAACCATCTCAAAGTCAAGAGCAATGTTTATATGGGATTGAAAGAGATGTATTCACAAGCCTGCTTGTTTTCAATACGGCCATTTCACATCACCGGACGTTTTGTTCCCTCATTCTGAATCACAGAGACTGATGGCAATATAGCACTGTGCATACCTGGAAATTTAATCTATTTTGTGTTATAGATTGGAGGTTTTACACGTTACTGTATGCATTTTACTTTTTATTGTGGTTTGAAATGCACTCATCAATGTCGATTTTTTCTAACCCTGAAATATAAAAATTGCATTGCTATACCTCTTTCAGTGTTTGAAGACAGCTTTCAGTTTGTTTTTCTCTAGCTGACCTAGAGACTAGAGAATTGACAATTTGTTTAGTTTTCCATTAGACCTTAAAGTGGCATTAAAAAGTCAACAAAAATAAAGATTTAAGATCAGTGATGTTATGAAACCAAAATAAAAATGCATTCACATCTCTCCATCTTCCACCTTCTACCCTTTGAGAACGAGGAGGCTGAGACCCATGCAGAGTGAAAAATGACCAAGAGGTATCTGCACAGATGAAATGTGAAAAAGTGGGATTTGATATCATTTGAAATTCAGTGAGACAAGTCATGCTGCAGTATGAGTAAAACTTCACCTGTCCATCATGTTCTTAAGCATAAATATACATTTGCATTTTTAATATAAAGCTTAAACTTGAACATCAGGATAAGCTACAAATGGGTGAACAAATAAAGCATAAAAAACAGTGGGATCTGGTGGTAAATTAAAATTAAATAACAGTAATACAAATAAAATATTAATTGTATTTATATTAATTCAATAATAACTTATTGATATTAATTCCATAATAAGTTTTGGAATTAAATAAAAATAAACTTTTAATTAAATAAAATTAAATGTAAAAACATGCTTTAACATAAACCATTTTTAACCACAGTTGTTAGCTCTGTTCGACAATGTCCTAATGCCACAAGGAAAAAATAAATTAGTATTCCTAATTAGTATTTTTATCTCATAAATTGGGATTTCATAAACTCATACGTTGGACATTTTTTTTATGCAGGACTTTTGATACTCCTCTGTATATGGCATACTGTACATATGATATATTTGCCCAGCCCAGTAAGTACAGTAGCATAAATGTTTGGTGTTCAGGTGAGAGGCGACTTTCCTAAACTATTGTTTTTGAAAGTAGTTTGGAAAGTAACCTCTCGCCACAAAAGGACATTGCCATACAGCATAATACTACTACTAATCATAAAAATAATAATCAACTTTATTTTATATAGTGCCTTTAAAGGTGGCTTCTCAAAGCGTTTTACAGGATGAAAACAACAATAAATAAGAAGAATACACAAGATAAAACACAATTATAATATATAGAGGAGACTGTGGATGGTGGTACTAGGAAAAGCAGAGGGGTGAAGAGTAGAACCAGTTAAGTAAAGGCTTTTCTGAAGAAGAGGGTTTTGAGTCTGGATTTGAAGGAGTTTAGAGAAGGTGACTCTCTGATATCCTTGGGGAGAGAGTTCCAGAGCTTGGAGGCATAACAGGAGAAGGCCCTGTCACCCATACAATGTAGACGGACTTGGAGGACGGCAAGGAGAGCAGAATTAGAAGAGCGAGGTGGGGAGTAGGGCGATAATAGTTCAGACAGGTACTGAGGTGCCAAGCCATGCAGAGCCTTATAGGTGAGCATGAGGATTTTAAAGTCTACACAGAATTTAACCGGAAGCCAGTGCAAGGACTCCAGGATAGGAGTGATGTGATCACTTGGACTAGACCTGGTCAGGATTCTGGCTGCTGAATTTTGGACATACTGCAGTTTTTTCAGAGTAA